AACGGAGATGTGTGTTGGTGTGTGTGTGGTGTTTGTGTTTGTGTGTGGTGTTTGTGGTGTTGTGTGTGTTTGGAAACTGTGAGGCCTATGGCGTGGGTGTTGTCCTTGGCCACCTGCTGACAAGGCTGACAAGATAGGACCCTTTTGTCCATTGTTATTGGATAGGAACAGAACTTATAACCAGCTCCTGACCTAAATAGATCTTAGCACAACATTTTACTCAACATATCATATTCCATATAACAAATATATTTACTACGACATTAGCAAGAACCGCCACATCCTCAGCCGGCTAATCCAGTGTGTGAAGTTTTGCGGAGTGTTTGAGTTAGCTTTGCGAGGCAAAGATGAAACTGAGGGCTCCACCAACCCTGGTAAGCCAACACTTTTGAGATCAGTCAATAAATGCTTCTGGTATTGACTTATATGCTGCCCCTGTCTTCATGTTGTTGCTGGACATATATTTTTTTAAATGTGTGTAGGTCACCTAAATCATCAGAAAAATTGCCCCTCCTGAGAATTTTTTCAGGAGCCGCCACTGTTTGTCACACAACACAATGCTAGATATGTCTCAAGTTTTGAGGAAGCGTGCAATTGGCATGCTGACTGCAGAAATGTCCACCAGAGATGTTGCGAGAGAATTTAAAATTCATTTCTGTACCATAAGCAGACTCCAACGTCGTTTTAGAGAATTTGGCAGTACGTCCAACCGGCCTCACAACCGCAGACCACGTGTAACCACGCCACCCCAGGACCAGCAGAGTGCCCAATGGTGGCGGTGGGGTTATGATATGGGCAAGCAATGAACAGCAACTTCGCACAGCTGTTGAAGAGTGGCACAACATTCCACAGGCCACAATCAACAGCCTGATCAACTCAATGCGAAGGATATGTGTCGTGCTGCTTGAGGGAAATGGTGGTCACACCAGATACTGTTTGGTTTTCTGATCCACGCACCTACCTTTCTTTTAAGGTATCTGTGTTCTTAGAATAAAATACAAAATAGCATCCACTCACCACTAAATTAGATCCATTACATTCAGTTTGTTTTGCAATGCATCGTTCAAAAATTTTGGAAATTCAGAAGCAGGGGACAAGTGGGTGAGGTGATCAAGAGTGTGGGCTACAAGGGCAGATTATGATGTAATCTTTGGAAAATTAACTAGTCGTGCACAGTAAAGAGAAGCCATAAATGACAACCAAGACTAAATAAAGCAAATCAATGATCTCCATTTATTATTTCTTTACAAATGCATGCTTTAAAGTTACTGTTTATATACAAATAGCTATTTTGCATATAAAACTGGATCAAGTGGTAAGAGTCATGTAACACAGGTCAATTTTAAAAAGGCACATTTCTTATTTAAATGACAACATGTACCATGCCATATTTGATTCTGTATCACTACAATAGTTGAGGGTTTCTCTATTAAAAGAAACACAAAATGACGTGCTAAAATGATAGACTGCTGAACATCACCCGTATATCATCCACTTGATTCTATTTCATACGGTTACAGAACCTCAGAAAATTGAAGTAAATATTTTGTATTTAGGCTTTCAACCATCAGCATAAGAAAATAAAACTAGATAAAGTTCTTACATATACATATCCCAGAATTAGTGATTATCAGAACACACATAAATGACAGTTAATAGATGTATTCATGTTGTACTGCAAGTGCACATACAATACAACACATATTGCATTGCCTAAATGCCGTGGTAGTGTCCAGCTAAACATAACTAGTCGGTACTAAGCCTTACAGTGGGAGAGCATGAGAAAAAAACACCTGGGCATTTTTACAGTAAACCACCATTTAATCTACAACCTTTTCGTTTAATGAACCGATGAAGAACAAGGCTCAATGACTAAACAGTTACTGCAATTTAAATGTAGGAATTGTACAGTACATGGTACAATATGAATGTGCTACTAGTATGCATATTTGACTAATCTTGCACTGCTCTCTGTATTTACACAACCTTCGTGCATCTGAATAGGCAGCCATGTTGAACTTGTAAATACATTTAAAGATGCAAATATAGAATGCTTTCAATGCCGTAGACATTTCAGGAGTTAATTTACAATATATTACTTTTTTTATCGCCTTGTGGGGATCTTCACAGCATGATAAACGTCCAGAGGCAATATTTCATATCATAATCACCTCTGTTTGCGCCTAGTTTCACTTACAAAAACGATGTGTAACATTCAATGTATAATATCTCCAACTTTTCTAATCTGATGGGAAACAATGAAGGTCTGCACTCTATTTTATAAAAAAATCTATTGGTTTATTCCAAAATGTTCCATAACCTTAAAAGGAGCGCGTGGACCAAATCTACACTGAACAAAAATATAAACGCAACATGCAACTATTTCAAAGATTTTACTGAGTTACAGTTCATATAAGGAAATCAGTCAATTGAAATGAATAAATTAGGCCCTAATCTATGGATTTCACATGACTGGGAATTCAGATATGGAACACGCTGTCGTACACGTCAATCCAGAGCATCCCAAACATGCTCAATCAGTGACATGTCTGGTGAGTATGCAGGCCATGGAAGAACTGGGACATTTTCAGCTTCCAGAAATTGTGAACAGATCCTTGTGACATGGGGCCGTGCATTATTGTGCTGAAACGTGAGGTGATGGTGGCGGATGAATGGCACGACAATGGGCCTCAGGATCTCGTCACGGTATCTCTGTGCATTCAAATTGCCATCGATTTAAAATGCAATTGTGTTCATTGTCCGTAGCTTATGCCTGTCCATACCATAACCCCACCACCACGGGGCACTCTGTCCACAATGTTGACATCAGCAAACCGCTCGCCCACATGGCGCCATACACGCTGACTTCTACCTGGTACAGTTGAAACCGGGATTCATCCGTGAAGAGCACACTTCTCCAGCATGCCAGTTGCTATCGAAGGTGAGTATTTGCCCACAGAAGTCAGTTACGACGCCGAACTGCAGTCAGGTCAAGACCCTGGTGAGGACGACGAGCATGCAGATTAGCTTCCCTGAGACGGTTACTGACAGTTTGTGCAGAAATTCTTCTGTTGTGCAAACCCACAGATTCATCAGCTGTCCGGGTGGTTGGTCTCAGACGATCCCACAGGTGAAGGAGCCGGATGTGGAGGTCCTGGGCTGGCGTGGTTACACGTGCACAAAATTTGAGAGAAATAAGCTTTTTGTGTGGATGGAAAATGTCTGGGATCTTTTATTTCAGCTCATGAAACATGGGACCAACACTTTACATGTTGCGTTTATATTTTGTTCAGTGTACATGAAAGGCCTGGGGGTTAGGGGTCGATTTGGAGTATGAGCCCATTCCCAACCAATCTTGAATGAATTGCACTACCTCTCAGCACGAGTCTCTACAAAATGCTGTCAGTAAGATTACACAACAAGACAATAAGTACAACAAACATTCATTCATACGTCTTTCCATTTAGTGATTATGTGCTGACACGTTACCTCCAAAAACAGTTTAAAACTGTTTTCCGTTACCACTCACCCTCCACCCGAATGAAATAGGTTAACATATGGGGTTGTGAGGGTGTGCTGTAACGTTAACTTAATCTTCCTTAGCTCCACACGTCCTGAGAGTAGCGGCCCTTGGTCATCAGCTTCTTGATGTAAGCCACAGCCTGTGTGTGTGTGAGACCTCCCACCTCCTCAACGATGTCATAGAAGGAATTCTGCACATCCCGCGCCATGTTCCGAGCATTCCTAGGAAAAGACAAGTGGCAGCCATATTTACAGTAGGCACACAATAATGATGGATTTTCTCTTTCAAAAAACCCTCAAAGCTTGTACATGTACTGTGCCTTCAGGAAGTATTCACACCCACATTTTGTTGTGTTACAGCCTGAATTTAAAATGGAATAAATTGAGATTTTCTGTCACTGACGTACACACAACACCCCATAATGTCAAAGTGGAATTATGTTTTTAGAAATGTTTAGAAAGCTATAAAAAATGAAAAGCTGAAATGTCTTGAGTCAATATGTATTCAACCCCTTTGTTATGGCAAGCCTAAATAAGTTCAGGAGTAAAAATATGCTTAACAACTCACATAATAAGTTGCAATAATAGTGTTTGACATGATTTTTGAATGACTACCTCATCTCTGTACCCCACACATACAATTATCTGTAAGGTCCCTCACTCGAACAGTGAATTTCAAACACAGATTCAACCATAAAGACGAGGGAGGTGTTCCAATGCCTTGCAAAGAAGGGCACCTATTGGTAGATGGGTACAAATTTTAAAAGCTCACATTGAATATCCCTTTGAGAATGGTGAAGTTATTAATTACACTTTGGATGGTGTATCAATACACCCAGTCACTACAAAGATACATGCATACTTCCTAACTCAGTTGCCGGAGAGGAAGAAAACTGCTCACGGACTTCACCATGAGGCCAATGGTGACTTTAAAACAGTTAAGAGTTTAATGGCTGTGATAGGAGAAAACTGAGGATGGATCAACAACATTTTAGCTACTCCACAATACTAACCTAAATGACAGAGTGAAAAGAAGGAAGCCTTTACAGAGTCAAAATATTCCAAAACACGCATCCTGTTTGCAACAAGGCACTAAAGTAAAACTGCAAAAAATGTGGCAAGGAAATTAACTGTCCTGAATACAAAGCGTTACATGTTGTGTTGGATTTTCCCCAAACATCACTGAGTACCACTCTTCATATTTTCAAGCATGGTGGTGGCTGCATCATGTTATGGGTATGCTTGTCATCGGCAAGGACTAGGGAATTGTTGGGGATAAAATTAAACGGAATAGAGCTAAGCACAGGCGGAAGCACCTAGAGGAAGATCTGATTCAGTCTGCTTTCCAACAGTCACTGGGAGACAAATTCACCTTTCAGCAGGACAATAACCTAAAACACAACACCAAATATACACTGGAGTTGCTTACCAAGACGACATTGAATGTTCCCTAGTGGCCTAGTCACAGTTTTGAAATTGGCTTGAAAATCTATGGCAAGACTTGAAAATGGCTGTCTAGCAATGATCAACCACCAGCTTGACAGAATTTGAAGAATTTAAAAAAGAATAATGTGCAAATATGGTTAGGAATACCTGGGATAGGATAAAGTAATCCTTCTACCCCCCCCCCCCCCCCCCCCCAAAAAAAAAATAGTGGTTATCCCACTGGCTATCATAAGGTGAATGCACCAATTTGTATGTCGCTCTGGATTAGAGCGTCTGCTAAATGACGAAAATGTAAATGTAAATGTAATTGTACAATACAGGTGTGCACAGCTCTTAGACACTTACCCAGAAAGATTCACAGCTGTAATTCTCTGCCAAATGTGATTCTAATATGTATTGACTCAGGGGTGTGAATACTTCTGTAAATGAGATATTTCATTTTCAATATATTAGCAAACATTTCTAAAAACGTTTTCACTTTGTCATTATGGGGTATTGTGTGTAGATGGGTGAGAAATTCAGGCTGTAACACAACAAAATGTGGAATAAGTCAAGGGGTATGAATACTTTCTGAAGGCACTGTACATATGCAGGTGGTCTGAAATGGTTCTTACCCACAAATGTAGACATGAGCATTGTCAGTATGGATCAGCTTCCACAGGTGTTCCTTGTTCTTCTTCAGGAGATGCTGCACGTACACCTGAGCATGCATAATCAAACAATTAGCCTAACTGAACAATTCATTTAAATTAATTTTAGTGATACAAAATACATTCTCTTGAAGTCTGCAGGTTCTTAAGGCAATACGAATCATAGGCAGTATCAAATATTGTACCTTATCTACGTCATTGATAAGAGCTTATTGAATCTTATCACAGATTTTATGCCTCAAAACACTGTTGGTAGTATAGCTAGACATGCTAACTCTAACATAGTTAGGAGCTGACAGAGAAGTTAAGGTGTGCTGTGTTACCTTCTCCTCTTGGTCTCTGGAGAAGGCCACGTTGAGCTGAGTCAGCACGCCCACCTTCTCAAACTCTTCCAGTTCCTGCTGGTACAGGAAGTCCTCGTTTCTGTGGCGACAGCCAAAGTACAGTATTGTCTCGCCGACATCCTTCCCTGATAGCGAAACAACACACTCTTGATGTGAAACTGTGTCACACTGGCACTCTTTTCCCTTTCCCTCCCCCTTATGCTAACACATACAAGCATACTTGTTGACAACAAACTCAGGTCAACCTAATTTACTGTAGAACAAGGAGACTTGCTTGCTGTGGACTCCATCTATGTACAAGTCAAACACTGTTCCGTTTTAACGGCTGTTCTTCAAAATCACAAAATAACACACAATACCAGAAAATCCACACTCTAGACACGTTTCAATTTTCCAATTCAATAGGTAGACTTAGATGCCAGACGAGGCCCAGGGCTTCTTGCCCCCTAGCTGGTTACCTTGCTCCTTCATCCAGCCTCGCTCCTGGAGGAAGCCCATGAAGGGGGCGATGCCTGTGCCGGGCCCAATCATCACCACTGGGTTGCTGGCCTTGAAGGGCAGCCGGAACTGGGACTTGCGGACGTACATGGGCACAGTGGCCTTGTGGCCGTTGTCCGTCACCACCACCTTGTCCTTCAGCCAGTTGGTGGCCACTCCCTTGAAACTCCGCCCTGTGCTGGTCTGGAACTCCACCACCATCGCACAGATGCTCACCATGGTGGAGTACACCTGATATCAAGACAATACACAGTTATTAAGTAAACATAAAGAAAAAAATAAAGAAAAAAATAACTGAAAAAGTGGGAACTGAAATGGCAATAAAAGGTCTGCTGTTCTCTGATTCCAGGTACCATATCCATAAACTGCTCTCCATCCAAGGGCGCTGCTATACAAATGTCTATTTCTCCCTAAAATCGACAAAGTCTTATTATTATTTTTCTAATAGTGGGTCTCACCTTGCCTGAAGAGGCGATGGAATAGTAGCGGGCCTGGAGGCGGGGCAGCAGCTCACACAGATGGTCTATGGTAGGGTGGAGGGACGGCATGTCCTCCAACACAGCCAGGATGTTCCTCTGAGCATCCAGCACCCAGCTCTGGTACAGACCCTGACAGAGAGACACAGACAGACTAACAGTTACTCTCCATTGAGTACGTTTACATGTACACTAATAATTCGATATGAAACTGATTATGGTAGAAGGCAGAGTATGGCATTAGTCATGTAAACACCTTACTCTGCTTATCTTACTCGGCGTAAGGTCATAATCGAAGTAAGCATATGCCGATTAAAACACCTGGTTTTCTGAGCAATCTTTCAAACTATTAGGACATGTAAACAGCTTAATCGGCGTTCCAGCTGTGTATTTGATCTGCGCATGTGCCAGCATCGGGTAGCACTAGCCTCCCTCTTATGCGTGAGTGAAGTGAGGTCGAAAAAACTGAAAGTATGCATCTTATAAATAGTTTTCACATACAAACTTTATATGTCCGAATCAAATAGTCTTCACAAAAATAACATGGTTACTGTGGTAGAATGTTTATTTTGATTGCCGATTTTCAGCATTTATCAAAAGTCCCATCAGTAGCCTGATTTCAGATGTGTCGATATAAACAGGATTATTAGGGAAATCGATCTTCTTGCAAAGCATGTAAACGTTTTAATCGAACTATTATATTAACCTGACTGTCCACAATAATCACATTATTGTGTGCATGTAACCGTGCTCATTGATACGGAGCATTTACAGCGATTCAAACCCATTGACAGCAAGAATTTCTGGGTGGTCAGTGGAGTGTCTGTCAGTCAGCTAGAGGGTCAGAGGTTTGAGGGGTGCCAACCTTGCCCTCGGGGGAGGCGGAGGCCATCTTGCGCAGGATGTCCTGGTCCTTGGGGTCGGTGGCGTACTGGGCCAGCTCAAACAGCACGTTGGTGCGAGGGGTGTTGGTGATGTCCAGGTAGTGGGTCAGAGCCGTGCGGTACGTGGTCGGACACGGGAATGGGTGCTTCTTATTGGACTCCTCTGAAACACACACAGAGGAAGAATCTTATCAGCATCATTGTTTAAGGTTCAAGTTCCCTTTATTTAGAGGCCACTGTATCCATTTTGGTTGTTAATGGTAGACTATATGATTTAGTTGACAATGTGTGCAGCAGTATCTTTTCAACCTCTGGATCATGTGCATTACATTGCAACCAAATATTATGGAAAATGCCAATGGAAAAAATAACTACTCCAATGCAAATATAGATGCAAAGCAGCTCACATCATATCCCTGAGCCATGATTTACAACTGACCATCGAGGTTGTTGAGAGAGATAACAGTGTCCAGGTCGGCATCCAGGATCTGGCCTATTCTATTCACTATTGACACGTCATTAACGGGGTAAACAGCAACGTGGTCTCCAGAGTCATATCTACAGGGAGGGAGAGAGACAGGGAGATGGATGAACAAGACTTCCCACTGTCTTTATCTAACAAACAAATGTCATTACATATACAACATATTTACATGCTTTTTGCCAGTGTGTGAAAAAGAAAAAACACTTTAATGATTAACCAACTCAACACTTGTTGGCAAACAGAAGTAATGCAGTAGGCATAGGAAGGCAGAAGTGTATGATATTTAAAGGCCCAATGCAGCCAAAAATGTGATACAGTGGGGCAAAAAAGTATTTAGTCAGCCACCAATTGTGCAAGTTCTCCCACTTAAAAAGATGAGAGAGGCCTGTAATTTTCATCATAGGTACACGTCAACTATGAAAGACAAAATGAGAAAATAAAATCCAGAAAATCACATTATAGGATTTTTAATGAATTTATTTGCAAATTATGGTGGAAAATAAGTATTTGGTCAATAACAAAAGTTTTGTCAATACTTTGTTATATACCCTTTGTTGGCAATGACACAGGTCAAACGTTTTCTGTAAGTCTTAACAAGGTTTTCACACACTGCTGCTGGTATTTTGGCCCATTCCTCCATGCAGATCTCCTCTAGAGCAGTGATGTTTTGGGGCTGTCGCTGGGCAACACGGACTTTCAACTCCCTCCAAAGATTTTCTATGGGGTTGAGATCTGGAGACTGGCTAGGCCACTCCAGGACCTTGAAATGCTTCTTACGAAGCCACTCCTTCGTTGCCCGGGCGGTGTGTTTGGGATCATTGTCATGCTGAAAGACCCAGCCACGTTTCATCTTCAATGCCCTTGCTGATGGAAGGAGGTTTTCACTCAAAATCTCACGATACATGGCCCCATTCATTCTTTCCTTTACACGGATCAGTCGTCCTGGTCCCTTTGCAGAAAAACAGCCCCAAAGCATGATGTTTCCACCCCCATGCTTCACAGTAGGTATGGTGTTCTTTGGATGCAACTCAGCATTCTTTGTCCTCCAAACACGACGAGTTGAGTTTTTACCAAAAAGTTATATTTTGGTTTCATCTGACCATATGACATTCTCCCAATCCTCTTCTGGATCATCCAAATGCACTCTAGCAAACTTCAGACGGGCCTGGACATGTACTGGCTTAAGCAGGGGGACACGTCTCGCACTGCAGGATTTGAGTCCCTGGCGGCGTAGTGTGTTACTGATGGTAGGTTTTGTTACTTTGGTCCCAGCTCTCTGCAGGTCATTCACTAGGTCCCCCCGTGTGGTTCTGGGATTTTTGCTCACCGTTCTTGTGATCAATTTGACCCCACGGGGTGAGATCTTGCGTGGAGCCCCAGATCGAGGGAGATTATCAGTGGTCTTGTATGTCTTCCATTTCCTAATAATTGCTCCCACAGTTGATTTCTTCAAACCAAGCTGCTTACCTATTGCAGATTCAGTCTTCCCAGCCTGGTGCAGGTCTACAATTTTGTTTCTGGTGTCCTTTGACAGCTCTTTGGTCTTGGCCATAGTGGAGTTTGGAGTGTGACTGTTTGAGGTTGTGGACAGGTGTCTTTTATACTGATAACAAGTTCAAACAAGTGCCATTAATACAGGTAACGAGTGGAGGACAGAGGAGCCTCTTAAAGAAGAAGTTACAGGTCTGTGAGAGCCAGAAATCTTGCTTGTTTGTAGGTGACCAAATACTTATTTTCCACCATAATTTGCAAATAAATTCATTAAAAATCCTACAATGTGATTTTCTGGATTTTTTTTTCTCAATTTGTCTGTCATAGTTGACGTGTACCTATGATGAAAATTACAGGCCTCTCTCATCTTTTTAAGTGGGAGAACTTGCACAATTGGTTTCTGACTAAATACTTTTTTCCCCCACTGTATATATATTTCCACACTATGAGGTTGGAATAATACTGTGAAATTGTGAAAATGATAATGCCCTTTTAGTGTAAGAGCTGTTTGTAAAGACTGCCTGAAATGTGGGATGGAGCTTTGGCCTGCCTGGTGACATCACCAGGTGGTAAATTGGTTAATAGACCAATAAGAAAGAGAGTTCCAAACCTCTCTGCCAATAACAATAGTTATCAGTTTTCCCCTCCCTACTCAGACCTCTCCCAGACAGTCTTAGCAAAATTCTTGCTTGGGAAATGTTTGTTTCTTTTTGACCATTTTAATTGAAAACAATCACAGTAAGGTACTTAATTGTTACCCAGAAATGATCTGATATTGAGATAACAACTGCTGCATTGGACCTTAAATGGCATAGGACTTTTCATATAAAATATTAAAGCAGAGCAGATACCTGATTTTGGAGCCTGAGATGTCCAGCTCTAGATGCATCAGATGGCGGTCGCCGGCTTGGTTCAGCTGGCGGTTAACCACCACTGTGGCCAAGTAGGGGTTCTTAGCATCAAAAGGCCTCCAATGACAAATATACTGGAGTTATCACAAAGCCATTTCAGACAAATGGAGAAAAGTGCTACTGTTGTAAAAAGGGTTCGTCCAAAGTTCCAATAAATAAATAACATTTGAGAGGAGATTTCTAATATTAAGGATAAAATACAAATTAAATGATCAGAGAAAAAAGACAGGTGAAAGCATTATGGCCAAGGTGTATAGAGGAATTTAGTTTACACCTGTCTAGTTCTCTCAGATCAGTGCAGATGAAGGAAAAGAGATGAGGAGAGGAGGCCACTTTGGACTATTTGCTGTTGGCACTGGGGAGATGGTGAGAATCAGGTCAGCGTCATGACAACAGTCATCCCTTTATTGCCCTGAACAACAATCATAATCTATTAATTCCGTTCCATGACAACCCCACTTCCCGTGTGTGTGAAGCTGTCAACTCACGGTTTCTGGGTCTCAAAGCTCTTGAGGCGACCCATCTCCCCAGTATACACCTTATTCATGTTGATGTCAGTTGGAACCACCAACTCGTACTGCCGGATGCTAAAGGAGAGGAAGAAAAGGACAGGTGGTTACTTCCTGCTCTGCATCTCGACCAATCATGATCACACACCTATGAAGTCTAAAATGAACCCTTGTCAGTGTAGCTAAGGGCCGATATGGGGTTTGCTCTCTGTGATGCAAATTAAATGATGCATGTGCGTATGGTAAAAGGGTCGGATGCCATACAGAGCAGAGTGAAAGGCCTCAAAGCACAGGGGAGACATTCATGTCGGGCACTATTATGCATGTAAACAGAATTTGAAATGGAAATGTGCCGTTGTTTAACCAAATGTGTGGACGGTCATTTAGGTTTGTTATTTGCAGTTGAAGCTTTATGGTTGTTTTTCTGAAAACATGCAAACAATGTCAGGGTCTATCAACAATTAATTAATCAATTGTTTAATATATCTGATACGTCCAGTATTCATAGCTGCTGATATTACCAAGAACCCTTGTTCTGTATTGAATTGAAATACAACGTAAAACATTATGAGCCGGATTCCCAGATACAGATTAAGCCTAGTCCTGGACTATAAAGCTTTTCAATGGAGAATCTCAATTGAGAATATTTTTTTATCCTGAACTAGGCTTAATCTGTTTCTGGGAAACCAACCCTCTAGGTCTTTAAAAAATATATTATTTATAAAAGGAAGTACATCTGATCCTAAAGCTTCATAGTAAATATCTATAGTTGGCAACAAGTCTGAGTCTGACCAGGAGAGAGAGAGGGGGTAGCCAACTAGCTATTACCTGGTGTCATCTCCTGTGGCCTCCACCCCAAAGTGTTCACACACAGCAGGCCACAACTGCTCCTTCCATGATACAAAGTCTTCCTCAAGGCTGGGGAAGAGGGTAAGACAGACATAGAACACAGTCATAGTATTATATTTTGTTAAGATAAATACATATTTATGAATATGGATTCATTTAGTACTCACTTGCCATCATCGTCTCCCATTCCCAGGTCATAGATCCTCTTGCCACCCAGCTCTTCCAGTCTCTTGTCTGTATACTTTCCCATTGCATTGAAGTGCTCATATGTTTTATTCCCCAAGCCAAACACCTGCAGAGTTCAAAGGCAGACGCTATCAGATATCATAGTAGATCAATATTAATGACCTACATACACAGTACCAGTCAAAGGTTTAGACACACCTACTCATTCCAGGGTTTTTCTTTATCTTTTCTATTTTCTACATTGTAGAATAATAGTGAAGACATCAAAACTATGAAATAACACATATGGAATCATGTAGTAACCAAAAAAGTGGTAAACAAATCTAAATATATTTTATATTTGAGATTCTTCAAAGTAGCCACCCTTTGCCTTGATGACAGCTTTGCAAACTCTTGGCATTTTCTCAACCAGCTTCATGAGGTAGCCACCTGGAATGCATTTCAATTAACAGGTGTGCCTTGTTCTAAGTTAATTTGTGAAATGTCTTTCCTTCTTAATGCATTTGAGCCAATCAGTTGTGACAAGATAGGGGTGGTATACAGAAGATAGCCCTATTTGGTAAAAGACCAAATGATGAAACTGGCTCTCATGAGGACCGCCACAGGAAAGGAAGACCCAGAGTTACCTCTGCTGCAGAGGATAAGTTCATTAGAGTTAACTGCACCTCAGATTGCAGCCCAAATAAATGCTTCACAGAGTTCAAGTAACAGACACATCTCAACATCAACTGTTCAGAGGACACTGCATCAATCAGGCCTTCATGGTCGAATTGCTGCAAAGAAACCACTACTAAAGGACACCAATAAGAAGAAGAGACTTGTTTGGGCCAAGAAACACGAGTAATGGACATTAGACTAGTGGAAATCTGTCCTTTGGTCTTATGAGTCCAAGTTTGAGATTTTTGGTTCTAACCGCCGTGTCTTTGTGAGATGCAGAGTAGGTGAACGGATTATCTCTGCATGTGTGGTTCCCACCGTGAAGCATGGAGGAGGAGGTGTGATGTTGTGGGGGTGCTTTGCTGGTGACTTTATTTAGAATTCAAGGCACACTTAACCAGCATGGCTACCACAGCATTCTGCAACGATATGCCATCCCATCTGGTTTGCGTTTAGTGGGACTATCATTTGTTTTTCAACAGGACAATGTCCCAAAACACACCTCCAGGCTGTGTAAGGGCTATTTGACCAAGGAGAGTGATGGAGTGCTGCATCAGATGACCAGGCCTCCACAATCACCCGACCTCAACCCAATTGAGATGGTTTGGGATGACTTGGACTGCAGAGTGAAGGAAAAGCAGCCAACAAGTGCTCATCATATGTGTGAACTCAAGACTGTTGGAAAAGCATTCCTCATGAAGCTGGTTGAGAGAATGCCAAGAGTGTGCAAAGCTGTCATCAAGGCAAAGGGTGGCTACTTTGAAGAATCTAAAATATAACATATATTTTGATTTGTTTACCACTTTTTTGGTTACTACATGATTCCATATGTGTTATTTAATAGTTTTGATGTCTTCACTATTATTCTACAATGTAGAAAATAGTAAAAATAAAGAAACACCCTTGAATGAGTAGGTGTGTCCAAACTTTTGACTGGTACTGTAAATGCAAAGCTTCCATGATATAGGTCTACGGCCTATATCATGATGCAAACCTGAGTTGACTGTAAATGCAGTAATACACTATATCCTCATGTCCAAGCTGTACATTTACTCAATTACACCATATGGATCAGATCTGCAATCTAAGTGGCTTTCTATGGCTGGATGCACAACAAATGTCAAGAACAAGAAAACATGGATTTCCCAGATAAAACGCCACAACCACATCACAATGCTGTCTCAGGAGAGTCGCACAGCGAGACCCGGAGGAAGCCATGGTTAACATTGTTCAGTAGTGATGTCAATGAGAAAACACTCCAAAACGGAGACTCCCAATGTCTCCAAGCCACAAACTGCCAGTGCTCTCCAGCTCCAGCCTTGAGGTTGGCCAGGCCCGGAGTTTTGTTTGGCAGGACCACATGTTTCCACTTGGTGAGTGAGTTTGGAGGGAAGTGGTGCACTGTAGTAAAGTGTGCATTCCACTAGAGCCTTTCACATGGGAAAGCCTTACACACAGACATCTCAATCCCTACATCCCCTTCAATGGAGATGCAATATGACTTATTCTGTGTGGATCCTGTCAAAGCTAAACTTGCTGAGCTGCACACCAATGTTGATACATTTACATTTTAGTCATTTAGCAGACGCTCTTATCCAGAGCGACTTACAGTTAGTGCATACATATTTTTTTTTTCATACCCCCTGTGGGAATCGAACCCACAACCCTGACGTTGCAAACGCCATGCTCTATCTACTGAGCTACATCCCTGCCGGCCATTCCCTCCCCTACCCTGGACGATGCTAGGCCAATTGCGCGCCGCCCCATGGGTCTCCCGGTCTCGGCCGGCTACGACAGAGCCTGGATTCGAACCAGGATCTCTAGTGGCACAGCTAGCACTGTGATGCAGTGCCTTAGACCACTGCGCCACTCGGGAGATACCCATGCACCTTGATGCACCTACTACAGATCTATCTCAAAACTAAATTCAGACAGCAAAATACCAACCGCAAAGTTGACTCCGTTCAGGTCCTCATCGGTCTCCTGCATCCAGTCGTAGAAATCCTGAGCATTGTCTGTGGGGTCCCCCTCCCCATAGGTGGCCATGCAGAACACAGCCAGGGAGTTGTCAATCTCCGTAAGACGAGGCAGCTCCGACTGAGGAGAGAAAGGAATAAAAATACATTGAAAATTGCAAACAGGATTCATTCACCAAACAGCTCTCAGGATGCAACAATGCAGTCATTAGCTCTCCTAATGTTATTAATATAATAAATATCCAATTACATTTTTGGATTTAACTTGAAATGAACAAAAATACATTCTAAGACTAAACTTGAAATAAACAAAAATACACAATAATGGTAAATATTCCACACAAAGCTACTGGAGGTTACATGCGGTATGTAGAACACTGAGACAATATAAATAGTGCACTATACACATGTAAAGTCAGCGGGATTAAGACCAGTACCATGTCATATTCCTCAGGGTCAGCTGACATGCCGCTCATTCCGTAGCGCTGGGCGTCTTTGGCCAGTCGGCCGCAGAACTCCTCAGCAGTGCCCGTCTGAGAGCCATAGAACACCACCATGTTCCTGTTCTGGAGAGGGAGATGGCATCATCAGCAGTCATCCTACATTATAGAGGACTTCTTAAAGTTTCTTAGCTGGACCCATTGGGAACATTGCTTACATCCGCTATGACAGGCTCATTGTACACCCTCCCTCCCAAAAGCCTGGGAGGAATGAGAGAGCCAAGTCTCAGGGTCAGTAGCTTCAGCCCAACATCACATACACACACAAACATACATTTATTTAGTCTCCATATTATGTCTATCTCCGATAAGCTACCAAGGAAAGGGCTAAGAATAGCCCATATTAATATATGTAGCCTTAGAAATAAGGTTAATGAAATCAATAACTTGCTAACATCAGATAACATGCGTACTGGCCATCTCTGAAACTAACTTAGATAATTAATTTGAGGATACAGCAGTAGCAATACAGAGATATAACATCTACAGAACAGACAGGAATGCCTATGGGGGAGGTGTTGCTGTTTAGGGCCATATTTCTGTAAAGCTTAGATAGGATCTCATGTCAAATGTCGTTAAAATGTTGTAGTTGCAAGTTCACCTGCTTCATCTAAAGCCTCTTCTTTTGGGTAGTTGTTAAAGGCCACCAAGTGCTGACAGTCAGTATTTGGATAATATGTGTGCAATGCTTGATAATGTGTGTGATTTATTTATTTAATTTTTTATTTCACCTTTATTTAACCAGGTAAGCCAGTTGAGAACAAGTTCTCATGTACAACTGCGACCTGGCCAAGATAAAGCAAAGCAGTGCGATAAAAACAACAACACAGAGTTACATATGGGGTAAAACAAAACATAAAGTCAAAAATACAACAGAAAAATAGAAAATATATATACAGTGTGTGCAAATGTAGCAAGTTATGGAGGTAAGGCAATAAATAGGCCATAGTGCAAAAATAATTACAATTAGTATTAACACTGGAATGATAGATGTGCAAGAGATGATGTGCAAATAGAGATACTGGGGTGCAAATGATCAAAATAAATAACAATATGGGGATGAGGTAGTTGGGTGGGCTAATTACAGATGGGCTGTGTACAGGTGCAGTGATCGGTAAGGTGCTCTGACAACTGATGCTTAAAGTTAGTGAGGGAGATAAGAGTCTCCAGCTTCAGAGATTTTTGCAGTTCGTTCCAGTCATTGGCAGCAGAGAACTGGAAGGAATGGCGGCCAAAGGAGGTGTTGGCTTTGGGGATGACCAGTGAGATATACCTGCTGGAGCGCATACTACGGGTGGGTGTTGCTATGGTGACCAATGAGCTAAGATAAGGTGGGGATTTGCCTAGCAGTGATTTATAGATGGCTTGGAGCCAGTGGGTTTGGCGATAAATATGTAGTGAGGACCAGCCAACAAGAGCGTACAGGTCACAGTGGTGGGTAGTATATGGGGCTTTGGTGACAAAACGGATGGCACTGTGATAGACTACATCCAATTTGCTGAGTAGAGTGTTGGAGGCTATTTTGTAAATGACATCGCCGAAGTCAAGGATCGGTAGGATAGTCAGTTTTACGAGGGCATGTTTGGCAGCATGAGTGAAGGAGGCTTTGTTGCGAAATAGGAAGCCGATTCTGGATTTAACTTTGGATTGGAGATGCTTAATGTGAGTCTGGAAGGAGAGTTTACAGTCTAACCAGACACCTAAGTATTTGTAGTTGTCCACATACTCTAGGTCAGACCCGTCGAGAGTAGTGATTCTAGTCGGGTGGGCGGGTGCCAGCACCGTTCGATTGAAGAGCATGCATTTAGTTTTACTTGTGTTTAAGAGCAGTTGGAGGCTATGGAAGGAGTGTTGTATGGCATTGAAGCTCGTTTGGAGGTTTGTTAACACAGTGTCCAATGAAGGGCCAGATGTATACAAAATGGTGTCGTCTGCATAGAGGTGGATCTGAGAATCACCAGCAGCAAGAGCGACATCATTGATATACACAGAGAAAAGAGTCGGCCCAAGAATTGAACACTGTGGCACCCCAATAGAGACTGCCATAGGTCCAGACAACAGGCCCTCCGATTTGACACATTGAACTCTATCTGAGAAGTAGTTGGTGAACCAGGCGAGGCAGTCATTTGAGAAACCAAGGCTATTTAATCTGCCAATAAGAATGCGGTGGTTGACAGAGTCGAAAGCCTTGGCCAGGTCGATGAAGACGGCTGCACAGTACTGTCTATTATCGATCGCGGTTATAATATCGTTTAGGACCTTGAGCGTGGCTGAGGTGCACCCATGACCAGCTCGGAAACCGGATTGCATAGCGGAGAAGTTACGGTGTGATTCGAAATGGTCGGTGATCTGTTTGTTAACTTGGCTTTCAAAAACTTTCGAAAGGCAGGGCAGGATGGATATAGGTCTGTAACAGTTTGGATCTAGAGTGTCACCCCCTGGGGATCTCAGACGTTACAAAAGAGAGGTTGAACAGGCTAGTAATAGGGGTTGCGACAATTTCGGCGGCTAGTTTTAGAAAGAAAGGGTCCAGATTGTCTAGCGCAGATGATTTGTAGGAGTCCAGATTTTGCAGCTCTTTCAGAACATCAGCTGTCTGAATTTATGTGAAGGAGAAGTTGGGGGGGGGGGGGGCATGGGCAAGATGCAGCGGAGGGTGCAGAGCTGGTGACCAGGGTAGTGGTAGCCAGGTGGAAAGCATGGCCAGCCGTAGCAAAATGCTTGTTGAAATTCTCGATTATTGTAGATTTATCAGTGGTGATAGTGTTTCCTAGCCTCAGTGCAGTGGGCAGCTGGGAGGAGGTGCTCTTATTCTCCATGGACTTTACAGTGTCCCAAAACGTTTTGGAGTTAGTGCTACAGGATGCTAATTTCTGTTTGAAAAAGCTAGCCTTTGCTTTCCTAACTTCCCTGAAAAGTTGCATATCGCAGGGGCTATTCGATGCTAATGCAGTACGCCACAGGATGTTTTTGTGCTGGTCAAGGGCAGTCAAGTCTGAGGAGAACCAGGGGCTATATCTGTTCTTAGTTCTGAATTTTTTGAATGGGGCATGCTTATTTAAGATTGAGAGGAAAGCACTTTTAAAGAACAACCAGGCATCCTCTACTGACGGAATGAGATCGATATCCATCCAGGATACCTGGGCTAGGTCAATTAGGAAGGCCTGCTCGCTAAAGTGTTTTAGGGAGCGTTTGACAGTGATGAGGGGTGGTCGTTTGACCGTGGACCCGTTACGGACGCAGGCAATAAGGCAGTGATCGTTGAGATCCTGGTTGAAGACAGCGGAGGTGTATTTAGAGGGTAAGTTAGTCAGGATGATATCTATAACGGTGCCCATGTTTACGGATTTAGGGTTGTACCTGGTAGGTTCCTTGATAATTTGTGTGAGATTGAGGGCATCTAGTTTGGATTGTAGGATGGCCGGGGTGTTAAGCATATCCCAGTTTAGGTCACCAAGCAGTACAAACTCTGAGGATAGATGGGGGGCAATCAATTCACATATGGTGTCCAGGGCACAGCTGGGGGCTGAAGGGGGTCTGTAGCAAGCGGCAACAGTGAGAGACTTATTTCTGGAAAGGTGGATTTTTAGAAGTAGGAGCTCAAACTGTTTGGGCACAGACCTGGATAGTATGATAGATCTCTACAGTAGATTGCAACTCCACCCCCTTTGGCAGTTCTATCTAGATGGAAAATGTTGTAGTTGGGGATGGACATTTCTGAATTTTTGGTGGCCTTCCTAAGCCAGGATTCAGACACTGCTAGAACATCAGGGTTGGCGGAGTGTGCTAACGCAGAGAATAACTCAAATTTAGGGAGGAGGCTTCTGATGTTAACATGCAAAAAAACAATGCTTTTACGGTTACAGAAGTCAACAAATGATAGCTCCTGGGGAGTAGGAGTGATACTGGGGGCTGCAGGGCCTGGGTTAACCTCTACATCACCAGAGGAACAGAGGAGGACTTGAATAAGGATACGGCTAAAGGCTTTAAGAACTGGTCTTCTAGTGCGTTGGGTACAGAGAGTAAAGGGGGCAGATTTACGGGCGTTGTAGAATAGATTCAGGGCATTATGTACAGACAAGGATACGGAAGGATATGAGTACAGTGGAGGTAAACCTAAGCGTTGGGTAACAATGAAAGAGATAGCATCACTGAAGGCACCGATTGAGCCGGTCTCCGTGTGTATGGGGGGTGGAACAAAGGAGCTATTTGAGACAGTTTGAGAGGGACTTGGGGCTTTACAGTTTAATTGTATAATAAGAACTAACTGGAACAGCAATAGGCAAGGCATATTGACATGGGAGAGAGGCATAAAGCAATCACAGGTGTTATTCGAGAGAGCTAAGACAACAACTGGTAATGGCAATGAAAGTTTGGGCTGAGGCTAAACAGGACAGGGTACCGTGTAAAGGAACAGTCCAGCAGGCATCAGCTGTGCAGCTGAGTGATCATAAGGTCCAGTGAACAGCAATATGTGAGTCCGAAAGCAATTCGAATTGATGCTACAGCACAGGCTAGCAGGAGGCACGGCTGTTGTTTGCGTGTGCTAGCGGGCCGGGGCTAGCAGATGGATCTTCGTGGTCGTCGCAACGGGAAGCCTGTTGAAACCACAGACGATTACGTCGGCAGACCAGTCGTGATGGATCGGTGGGGCTCCGTGTCGACTCTAGGAGGTCCCGTCCGGTTGACAGAGAGGTAGATAGCCGGGAGATGGGCCTGACTCGAGGCTAGCTCAAGGCTGATTAGCCAACAACAACATCCATTTGGTTGCAGCTAGCTAGTTGCGATGATCCGGAGTTAAAGGTGCAGTGATTCAGTGATTCCGGCAGAAAAACCGATATGTTCTGGGTCGATAACGCGCTGTGCAGACAGTGCAGACTGGCCGATAATAGTCCAGGCTAGAGCTGGCTGGTAGGTAGTGCAGGCCACGGACAATGGTGAAAAACCGCTAACGGTGGCTAATAGCAAGTAGCTAGTTAGCTGGCTACTCCCGTCTGGTAGACAGAGAGGTAGATAGCCGGGATATGGGCCTGGTTAGAGGCTAGCTCAAGGCTAACTGGTGCTTGCTGCGGGGGCAGTGGTGATTAGTCAACAGCAACATCCATTCGGTTGCGGCTAGCTAGTTGCGATCCGGTGTTAATGTCCAGTGATTCAGTTATTCCGGCAGAAAATCTGATGTTCTGGGTGAAAACTGCTAACGCTGGCTAATAGCAAGTAGCTAGTTAGCTGGCTAGCTAGTTTCAACTGGAGATTCTAGATAAAAGGTAAGTCAATAATAGAATCCGTTCCACATTGAGTGAGGCGGGTTGCTGGAAAGTATATTTAGTAGAAGGATGAAAAGTGTGATAGGGAAATATGTACGAAAAATACAAAAATAATACAAAAACAGGCTATTTACACGGACACACACACAGAGTACACGACCGCACTGCTACCCCATCTTGGACATAATGATGTTAACAGAGAGGTCTATTGTCTGGGTGACTTGAACATTGACTGTTTAGCAACTAGCTGTCCTCTCAAGAGGAAGCTTCTAACTGTGACTAATGCCTTAATACGACCCAGGTTATCACTCAACCAACTAGAGTGCATACCAATAGTGTTGGATCTGTGACATCCACTTGTATTGATCATATCTTCACTAATGCTGCAGAGCTTTTCTGCAAAGCAATATCAATTTCCATTGGCTGAAGTGACCATAATATTGTGACAATAAGAAGGAAAGCCAAAGTGCAAAAGGTTGGGCCCAAAGAAATTGATAAGAGATCATAAAAAATGTTTTCTCAGGACTCTTGTTGAAGATGCAAAACATGTATGGTGGTGTATTAGGAAGTTAATCCAGATGCAGCACTGGAAGTATATAAAAAATATATTCCAGCACTGGACGTATTTGTAAATTAATTATTGTCAATTGTTGACAAGTATGCACCTGTTAAGAAACTAACTGTGAGAACTGTTAGAGCCCCCTGGATTGAATATGAATTGGAAAAAATTGTGGTTCAAAGAAAGTATGCAAAAGAGGTGGCAAACAAGTCAGGCTGCTCAGCTGATTGGTTGATATACTGTAAATTGAGACATTTTATGACTAAACTTAACAAAAAGAACAATAAATTATTTTACCAAATGCAATGGAAAAGGACTTTGGAGTACCTTCAATTACACTGAACAAAAATATAAACGCAACATGTACATTTTCCATACGCACTTAAAGCTTAATTCTCTAAAATGTGCAGTTTTGTTACACAACACAATGCCACAGATGTCTCAAGTTTTGAGGGAGCGTGCAACTGGTATGCTGACAGCATAAGCCTCCTCCAACGTCATTTTAGAGAATTTGACAGTACGTCCAACCCGCCACATAACCGCAGACCACGTGTATGATGTCGTGTGGTCGAGTGGTTTGCACGTTGTGAACAGAGTGCCCCATGGTGGCAGTGGGGTTATGGTATGGGCAGGCATAAGATACGGACAACAAACACAATTGCATTTTATTAACGGCAATTTGAATGCACAGAGATAACGTGACGAGATCCTGAGGCCCATTGTCGTGCCATTAATCCGCCGCCATCACCTCATGTTTCAGCATGATAATGCACGGCCCCATGTCGCAAGGATCTGTACACAATTCCTGGAAGCTGAAAATGTCCCAGTTCTTCCATGGCCTGCATACTCAGACGTCACCCACTGAGCATGTTTGGGATGTTCTGGATCGACGTGTACGACAGCATGTTCCAGTTCCCACCAATATTCAGCAACTTCGCACAGCCATTGAAGAGGAGTGGGACAACATTCCACATGCCACAACAACAGCCTGATCAACTCTATGCGAAGGAGATGTCGCGCTGCATGAGGCAAATGGCAGTCATACCAGATACTGACTGGTTTTCTGATCCACGCCCCTACCTTTTAAAAAAAGCTATCTGTGACCAACAGATGCATATCTGTATTCCCAGTCATGTGAAATCCATAGAGTAGGGCCTAATTAATTTATTTCAATTGACTGATTTCCTTTTATGAACTGTAACTCAGCAAAATCTTTGAAATTGTTGCATGTTGCTTTATATTTTTGTTCAGTATATATCATGGTCAGAAACCCCAATTAATCTCCATCGTTCATTGAAGTTGATGGGTAATTTATAACAAAACCTTTCGATATTGTCAATCATTACAATTACTATTTCACTAGTAAAGTGGAAAAACTTAGAAGTGAAATGACAACATGGAACAGTGAACCATCATATTTTTATATAAAAGATCTAATAATGAAAGAGAAGGATTGCTGTTTTGAATTTGGTCAAGTTAGTGTGGGAGAGGTGGAAAAACGATTGTTATCCATCAATAATGATAAGCCACCAGGTATAGACAACTTTGATGGGAACATTTTGAGAATGGTAGCAGACTGTATTGCCAACCCTATGTGCTATATCTTTAACCAAAGCCTAAAGCAGCGATTCTCAACTGGTGGGTCGCGACCTAAGGTTTTGAATGGGTCGTGAGCGTAAAAAAGGTTGAAAAATATATATACACTACCGTTCAAAAGTTTGGGGTCACTTAGAAATGTCCTTGTTTTCGAAAGAAAAGCACTTTTTTTGTACATTAAAATAAAATAAAATTGATCAGAAATACAGTGTAGACATTGTTAATGTTGTAAATGGCTATTGTAGCTGGAAACTGCTGATTTTTTATGGAATATCTACATAGGCGTACAGAGGCCCATTATCAGCAACCATCAGTCCTGTGTTCCAATGGCACGCTGTGTTTGCTAATCCAAGTTTATCATTTTAAAAGGCTAATTGATCATTAGAAAACCCTTTTGCAATTATGTTAGCACAGCTGAAAACTGTTGAGCAGATTAAAGAAGCAATAAAACTGGCCTTCTTGAGACTAGTTGAGTATCTGGAGCATCAGCAATTGTGGGTTCGATTACAGGCTCAAAATGGCCAGAAACAAATAACTTTCTTCTGAAACTCGTCAGTCTATTCTTGTTCTGAGAAATGAAGGCTATTCCATGCGAGAAATTGCCAAGAAACTGAAGATCTCGTACAACGCTGTGTACTACTCACTCAACAGCCAGCTACAATAGCCATTTACAACATTAACAAGTCTACACTGTATTTCTGATCAATTTGATGTTATTTTAATGGATAAAAAAATTGCTTTTCTTTCGAAAACAACGACATTTCTAAGTGACCCCAAACTTTTGAACGGTAGTGTATATTATATTTTAAAAAATACTCCAGTCCGAACTTAAATGTCTAAAACCAGGTAGAAAGTGTGTAGAAATGATAATGAACCTATACTTCTAAATAATTTAACCTCAACTATTTTTCTTCAATCACAGTATTTTTGGATTTGGTTGTTTTTGTAGTCTCAAACCAGTGAGCTTAACATTCTTCATCAAGAATATGGCCAAAATGGAATTATTGTCAATGAAAAAGGTGGGACTGATGTTCCCTTATCATATAATTGGTACATTTACAATATAACATTAAACATAGTTTTCCAGATTGCATTTTGGCAACAACAAAATAATGCGATGCGAATATTGGATCGCAAATGAGAAACCTGGTTCAATTTGGGTCCAGAGGCAAAACCAGTTGAGAACCACTGGCCTAAAGGAGTGTGTGTGTCCATAGGCCTGAAAGGAAGCTAAAGTAATTCCACTGCCTAAAAAAGTAGTAAAGCACCCTTTGCTGGCTCTAACAGCCAATCAGTTTGCTGCCTGTTCTTGGTAAACTGATGGAGAGGATTGTGTTTGACCAAATACAATGCTATTTTTTAAATACAATGGTTTACATGTCAGCACCCAAAGCCAGTGAGATACAGTCAGTATCAGAATGTATGATTAATAATAAACTGGTCTTAAATACTCACATCAACACCATCATCCCGGAAACCCTAGACCCACTTAAATTCCCATACCGCCCCAACAGATCCATAGATGACGCAATCTCAATCGCACTCCACACTGCCCTTTCCCACCTGGACAAAAGGAACACCTATGTGAGAATGCTGTTCATTGACTACAGCTCAGCGTTCAACACCATAGTGGCCACAAAGCTCATCACTAAGCTAAGGACCCTGGGACTAAACACCTCCCTCTGCAACTGGATCCTAGACTTCCTGACGGGCCGCCCCCGGGTGGTAGGGGTAGGCAACAACATCTGCCACGCTGATCCTCAACACGGGGGCCCATCAGGGGTGCTTGCTTAGTCCCCTCCTGTACTCCCTGTTCACCCACGACTGTGTTGCCAAGCACGACTCCAACTCCATCATTAAGTTTGCTGATGACACAACGGTGGTAGGCCTGATCACCGACAACGATGAAACAGCCTGTAGGGAGGAGGTCAGAGACCTGGCAGTGTGGTGCCAGGACAACAACCTCTCCCTCATTGTGAGCAAGACAAAGGAGATGATCGCAGACTACAGGAAAAGGAGGGCCGAACACGCCCCCATTCACATCGACGGGGCTGTAGTGGAGCAGGTCGAGAGTTTCAAGTTCCTTGGTGTCCACATCAACAACAAACTATCATGGTCCAAACACACCAAGAAAGTCGTGAAGAGGGCACGACAACGCCTTTTTCCCCTCAGGAGACTGAAAAGATTTGGCATTGTATTTGGTTCAAAACCTTCTCTAAGACCTAAACCTCAACTGAAGTTGTACATAAATGGTGTGACCATTGAGCAAGTTGAGGAAGCTAAACTCCTAGGTATAACATTGGATGGTCAATTATCATGGGCAAGTCATATAAGTTGTTGTGAAGATGGGGAGGGGTATGTCTGTTATAAAAAGATGCTATGCGTTTTTGACACAAAAATCAACTGTACTAATTGTTCAGGCTCTGGTCTTGTCCCATCTTGATTACTGTCCGGTAATATGGTCAAGTGTAGCAAAGAAAACCGAGTAGCACGCCTTGCCCTTAACTGCACATACAGAACTAACATCAACAACATGCACGGCAGTCTTTCCTGGTTGAGGGTTGACAAGAGATTAACTGCTTCTCTTCTAGTTTTTACTTTACGAAAATTCCATATTGTCTGCATAATCAAATAACATTCAGCTCAGACACCCATACATACCCCACAAGACACGCACCAGGGGTCTCTTCAAAGTCGCCAAGTCCAAAACGAATTCACGGCAACGGACAGTTTTATACAGAGCCATGACCACATGGAACTCCCTTCCATCTCCAATTACTCAAGCAAACAGCAAAATTACCTTTAAAAACTGATTCAACAACAACTCATGGAATGGCGGAGACACACACACACATCATCTTTTGTTGTTGTATTGTTTGTATTATTAATTTTTTGTATATCATTGTATTTAAAATTTTGTGACTGTCCTTGTATTTATTATGGCTCCCCATTAGCTGTCACCAAGGCAGCAGCTACACTTCCTGATTAAGGCAGTTAAATACAATTTTATATACAATTCAATACATTTCACCACACATTATGTGTGTGCACTCAGGCCACTACTCTTCAACACAAAATCCATGTGTACGTGTGTGTATAGTGCATATGTTATCGTGTTTATGCCTGTGACTGTGCGTCTCTTCACAGTCCTCGCTGTTCCATTAGGTTTCTTTTTTTCTGATTTTTTTATCTGATTTTACTGCTTGCATGAGTTACTTGATGTGGAACAGAGTTCCATGTAGTCATTGCTCTATGTAGTACTGTGTGCCTCCCATGGACTTGGGGACTGTGAAGAGACCTCTGGTGGCATGTCTTGTGGGGTATGCATGGGTGTCTGAGCTGTGTCCTAGTAGTCTAAACAGACAGCTCGGTACATTCAGCATGTCAATACTTCTCACAAATACAAGTAGTGATGAAGTCAATCTCTCCTCCACTTTGAGCCAGGAGAGATTGACATGCATATTATTAATGTTAGCTCTCTGTGTACATTTAAGGGCCAGCCGTGCTGCCTTGTTTTGGGCCGATTTTAATTTTCCAAAGTCCCTCTTTGTGGCACCTGACCACACAACTAGATAGTAGTCAAGGTGCAACAAAACAAGGGCCTGTAGGACCTGCCTTGTTGATAGCGTTGTTAAGAAGGCAGAGCAGGGCTTTATTATGGACAGACCTCTCCCCATCTTAGCTACTGTTGCATCAATATTTATTGACCATGACAGTTTACAATCCAGGGTTACTCCAAGCAGTTTAGTCTCCTCAAATTGCTCAATTTCCACATTATTCATTACAAGATTTAGTTGAGGTTTAGGGTTTAGTGAATGATTTGTCCCAAATGCAATGCCTTTAGTTTTTGAAATATTTAGGGCTAACTTAATTCTTGCCACCCATTCTGAAACTGACTGCAGCTCTTTGTCTATCAGTGTATCAGTGTTTTGTTACTTGTCATGTTCTGTGCTTTTTGTGGACCCCAGGAAAAGTAGCTGCTGCTTCTGCAAAAGCTAATATCGTCCAAATATACCCCGACTAGAAACCACATTTTTTTATATGACAGTCACCAAAGCAAGTTAAGTGGCATATTGCCTACATTTACTAAATAAATAGACATAATTTTATCTAAACTAATTGCTTTCTACTTAGGACACAGCATTTAGCATAAAGCTACTAACCGTTTTCTTCATTTTCTCAATGAAGCTGGTTTCTCGCTGTGGGGTGACTCTGGAGAAAAACACAAAGCAGATGTTAAAGGCAAACATCAGCATGTTAACTTAGTTATTCAGTCTACTAAATGGCTATTACACTGACTCGCAAATGAGAGGCCATTTGAGGAGGGAGAGTAGAAAATGTTCTTTACTCTGGCATTCTCAACCCCTTCTGACCCCATGGGAGAGATTTTTGTATGAGTCACACCCACTTGCTAACATGTACCACAGTACTGAAATCCCTTCACAAGTCATGGAAACGCAGAACAGAAATAGCTCAGTTTATCGTTGGTAAAAACTTTGAACAAAGACAGTAAATACATGTGAAACTCATTAATGATTATAACATGTCAATTGTCAATGAAACGTGTGCTCCTTAGCAGAGAACATTGGAGGTATAATTTCAAGTTACGCTCTTGCAACATAGAATTATCAAGAGGAAGTCAAGAAGTGACAATTGTTGCATGTGGTGACAGTATCTTAAGTCAATTGTTAGGCTACTTTCAGACTAGAGCCTTTTTGATGACATGCTATCATAATCATAAGATTCTGCAACATTGATTCTTATCTCTAAAACACTGGTAAGCAGCCTGGGAAGCTGAAGTGCAAATGAGCTAATCAAGTCTAATCTTTTGCAAAAGTAACACACATTTCCCTGAAGAGCATCAACATGATAGACAGTGGACGGAGCATAGTGGAACAAGCTGTCACACACACACACACACACACAGAGAGCGAGAGAGAGACTGACCTGGCTGCTGCTGCCTGTCTCTCTTTGGGCAGAGAGAACACACATCCCATGGCTAGAGGCAGTGTTCTCCAGCACCCCACAACACACTTGATCCACAGTGGGACACAATCCAATAAAGCGGTTGAGGAAGAAGCCCCTCAGGACTGACTAAGGGCTGGCCTCGCCATAGTGAATTATGCCGATGCGGGAGCGATTCTCAGTCTCTCACTGAACATACTTCCCACCACCACCCCCGGCAGCAAGGCTGGGAAGGCACCGACAATATAGCATGACATTTCCCTTAAAGCCCTTCAAGCAGAGCAGCCGACGACACACATAATCCCAAAAAACTGACATGCCCCTGCACACACACACATCAACACTCTGACATACTCATCCGCTCACTACATCCTTCCTCCTTTCCTCTACAATCTGTAGGGACTAGACCACCCGAGTCACCCTGGCAACCATTAACTTCGTAAATATGTATTTATAAAGAGAGATGAGGCAGAGCTGAATGAGGCACATTTCAAACCCCTGAGCCGAGAGTGTGTCACTATGGTTACCTAATCTATCATAAAAGGTTGCCATTTGTGACACGGCTCTGCTCCATTCATGCTCCCTAAAAGGCAAATTAGGGACGGCTTCCGCAGAAGAGAGGCTGAACAGAGAATACTGCTTGGCTTTGGCCTCAACTTTCCACCTCGGAGAGCTTTCAAAGGGAAAGAGCATCTGCTGGGTCTTCTGGCGCACTGGGGAAATTTCAAAAATGGGCTGTGTAGAAGACCAAAGACAAAAATAGTGCACAAAGACAGTGTCTTCTTCTCCAACAAAAAAGAACCACAGTGAAATGCGAGCCAGCCAAGCACAAGGAAACTCCAAGGTAGCTCTCCCCTTTCCTGCACTCCCCGAAACCTTTTCCTGGAATTTTCATAGCTTCAGTTGTGGGCAGTGGCGGCTCCTGAAAAAATTCTCAGGGGGGGCAATTTTTCTGATGATTTAGGTGACCTACACACATTTTAAAAAAGATATGTCCAGCAACAACATGAAGACAGGGGCAGCATATAAGTCAATACCAGAAGCATTTATTGACTGATCTGGGGAGATGGATTCCAGTTTCTGTGACAGATTATAAATAATCTCTGATGCCTTTGTTATATTAGCTTTTGGTTGAATGTACACAACGGTAACAAACAATTGGGGGAACTCACGGGGCAGATAGTAAGGTCGCAGTGACACAGAAAGCAGTTCAATGTCGGGGGTACAGAGTCGCTCTCTTACCAGGATCGATTTTCCCTGTGACTGTCAGATCGCGGTCCGCTCTGACCAGGGTGAAGCCGGCCGGCTCCACTTCTCTGTCCGGGACTCTGTCATCCAGCCAAGTCTCAGTAAATGCCAGCAAACAGGCCTCCCGATATTCGTGTTGGAAGCGCAGATTCGCTGACAACTCATCCGCTTTCCCCCTCAGTGACTGGGCATTAATCAGCAAGGTGGTGGGTAAGGGAAGTTTGTTCTGCTGTATTGGATTCCGCTGCCAGCAGCGTTTTCATTATTTAGTCCGTTCGTAGCGGGTATGTACACGATCAACAAGATCAGTCCAAAACCCACCACTGGAAATCCATGGTTGGCAGAATGTTTGTAAACTAAGTGTACAAATTAAAAACATAAAATAACGCCACTAAGTGTACAAATTAAAAACATAAGATAACGCCACACTGCAGGTCGCAACAGAGACGCTGCTACCCGCTATTTTCTTAGTTACGTTCATGGTTACGTTACGTATGACGAAAGCGCGTAAGTGCAAGCCCTCAGAAACCCATAGAGATTGTATTGAAAGCTCTGAAATTTGAAAAAAATAGATTTTACATGGGAGTCTATGACAGACTTCTGGGCGATTTTCAACCTGACTGAAATCGCCCCAAAAGGGGGGGGGGGGGCATTTGAAGCACGACTTTAGCCTGATTGGACATTTAGTGGCAGTCAGATCAGATTAGAACACTGATAACTACTGTTGCCGTGATATAATTGATTAGAAAAAAAATCCCTTCCTTTTCCCGTTTGGCAGTGCGTCGCCCATATCGCCCTATTGAACACACCGCCCCTGGTTGTGGGCCATTTCCTCCTCCTGCATATTTCATTCAATGGGGTTTTGGTGGTGCGGAGGGGAGCCAGGGGATATGAGTGAGAGAGTGAGAGAGTGAGAGAGTGAGAGAGTGAGAGAGTGAGAACCAAAGAAAAGTAACAGTGATAAACGGTTTGATGAAGAATGCAAAAACCTAAGAAAGACATTGAGAAACCTATCTAACCAAAAACATAGAGACCCAGAAAACCTGAGCCTACGCCTTCACTATGGTGAATCACTAAAACAATACAGAAATACACTACGGAAAAAGAAGGAACAGCATGTCAGAAATCAGCTCAATGTAATTGAAGAATCCATAGACTCTAACCACTTCTGGGAAAATTGGAAAACACTAAACAAACAAACACGAAGAGCTATCTATCCAAAATGGAGATGTATGGGTAAACCACTTCTCCAATCTTTTTGGCCCTATAACAGAGAACAAACAGCAAAAAAATATACATGATCAAATGCAAATCTTAGAATCAACTATTAAAGACTACCAGAACCCACTGGATTCTCCAATTACATTGAATGAACTACAGGACAAAATACAAACCCTCCAACCCAAAAAGTCCTGTGGTGTTGATGGTATCCTCAATGAAATGATAAAATATACAGACCACAAATTTCAATTAGCTATACTTAAACTCTTTAACATCATCCTTAGCTCTGGCATCTTCCCCAATATTTGGAACCAAGGACTGATCACCCCAATCCACAAAAGTGGAGACAAATTTGACCCCAATAACTACTGTGGGATATGCGTCAACAGCAACCTTGGGAAAATCCTCTGCATTATCATTAACAGCAGACTAGTTCATTTCCTCAGTGAAAACAATGTACTGAGCAAATGTCAAATTGGCTTTTTACCAAATTACCGTACGACAGACCACGTATTCACCCTGCACACCCTAACTGACAAACAAACAAACCAAAACAAAGGCAAAGTCTTCTCATGCTTTGTTGATTTCAAAAAAGCTTTTGACTCAATTTGGCATGAGGGTCTGCTATACAAATTGATGGAAAGTGGGGTTGGGGGAAAAACATACGACATGATAAAATCCATGTACACAAACAACAAGTGTGCGGTTAAAATTGGCAAAAAACACACACATTTCTTTCCACAGGGCCGTGGGGTGAGACAGGGATGCAGTTTAAGCCCCACCCTCTTCAACATATATATATCAACGAATTGGCGAGGGCACTAGAACAGTCTGCAGCACCCGGCCTCACCCTACTAGAATCTGAAGTCAAATGTCTTCTGTTTGCTGATGATCTGGTGCTTCTGTCACCAACCAAGGAGGGCCTACAGCAGCACCTAGATCTTCTGCACAGATTCTGTCAGACCTGGGCCCTGACAGTAAATCTCAGCAAGACAAAAATAATGGTGTTCCAAAAAAGGTCCAGTTGCCAGGACCACAAATACAAATTCCATCTAGACACTGTTGCCCTAGAGCACACAAAAAACTATACATACCTCGGCCTAAACATCAGCGCCACAGGTAACTTACACAAAGCTGTGAACGATCTGAGAGACAAGGCAAGAAGGGCCTTCTATGCCATCAAAAGGAACATAAAATTTGACATACCAATTAGGATCTGGCTAAAAATACTTGAATCAGTTATAGAACCCATTGCCCTTTATGGTTGTGAGGTCTGGGGTCCGCTCACCAACCAAGAATTCACAAAATGAGACAAACACCAAATTGAGACTCTGCATGCAGAATTCTGCAAAAACATCCTCTGTGTACAACGTAAAACACCAAATAATGCATGCAGAGCAGAATTAGGCCAATACCCGCTAATTATCAAAATCCAGAAAAGAGCCGTTAAATTCTATAACCACTTAAAAGGAAGCGATTCCCAAACCTTCCATAACAAAGCCATCACCTACAGAGAGATTAACTTGGAGAAGAGTCCCCTAAGTAAGCTGGTCCTGGGGCAACACAATTAGACCCAACCAAATCATGAGAAAACAAAAAGAGAATTACTTGACACATTGGAAAGATCAAACAAAAAAACAGAGCAAACTAGAATGCTATTTGGCCCTAAACAGAGAGTACACAGTGGCAGAATACCTGACCACTGTGACTGACCCAAACTTAAGGAAAGCTTTGACTATGTACAGACTCAGTGAGCATAGCCTTGCTATTGAGAAAGGCCGCCGTAGGCAGACCTGGCTCTCAAGAGAAGACAGGCTATGTGCACACTGCCCACAAAATGAGGTGGAAACTGAGCTGCACTTCCTAACCTCCTGTCAAGGGTGCTGAAGGTGGGTGTGGTGTAGGAATCAAGCGCAGGACGCAGAAACTAAGTCCAAAAGACTTTAGTGAAAATACACGTAATACACGAGCCCAACAAGCCTGGAGGCGATATACAAACGCACACAGGCGTAAACAAAAGGCGCACTAACATGTGCGAAAAACCTCTCCAACCAACGGAGGGAAACACGTAGCAACGAACACCAAACAGAAGCGTAATCACACACAACACCTGACGCACACAACGAGAACTAAATAGGACACTAATGAACACTAACTAGAAACAGGTCTACAACATCAAGACAAAACCAAACGAACATGAAACATAGAACGGTGGCAGCTAGTACTCCGGGGACAACGACCGCCGAAACCTGCCCGAGCAAGGAGGAGGAGCAGCCTCGGCCGAAACCGTGACACCTCCTGCCAAATGTATGACCATATTAGAGACACATATTTCCCTCAGATTACAGCGATCTACAAAGAATTCGAAAACAAACCCAATTTTGATAAACTCCCTTATCTACTGGGTGAAAAACCACAGCGTGCCATCACAGCTGCAAGATTTGTGACCTGTTGCCACAAGAAAAGGGCAACCAGTGAAGAACAAACACCATTGTAAATACAACCCATATTTATGTTTATTTATTTTCCCATTTGTACTTTAACTATTTGCACATTGTTACAACACTGTATATATACATAATATGACATTTGAAATGTCTTTATTCTTTTGAAACTTCTGAGTGTAATGTTTACTGTTAATATTTATTTCACTTTTGTTTACTATCTACTTCACTTGCTTTGGCAATGTTAACATACGTTTCCCATGCCAATAAAGCCCTTAAATTATAATTAGAGAGAGAGAGAGAGAGAGAGAGAGAGAGAGAGAGAGAGAGAGAGAGAGAGAGAGAGAGAGAGAGAGAGAGAGAGAGAGAGAGAGAGAGAGAGAGAGAGAGAGAGAGAGAGAGAGAGAGAGAGAGAGAGAGAGAGAGAGAGATAGAGAGAGAGAGAGAGAGAGAGAGAGAGATAACGAGAGATAGAGACGAGAAGAAACCACACACACAGAGCGAGAGAGAGAGACTGGGCCTGCTGCTGCTGCCTGTCTCTCTTTGGGCAGAGAGAACACACATCCCATGGCTAGAGGCAGTTTTTCTCCAGCACCCCACAACACACTTGATCCACAGTGGGGACACATCCAATAAAGCGTTGAGGAAGAGAGCCCCTCAGGCTGACTAGAGGTGGGCCGATAGTGAGAAGAAGAGAGAGGAGAAAGAGAGAGAGAAGGGAAGAGGAAGAGAAAGAAAGAAGATGAGAGGATAAAAAGGATAGAGAAGATGAGAATGATGAGAGGAAGAGGGGGGGGAAAGAGAGAGGGAGAGGCGAAGAGATCGACGAAGGAGCAGAAGAGAGGCAGGAAGGAGGAGGAGAAAAGAAGGAGGAAGAGAGAAGCACAAGGTATTATATTAGGAGAACTCGTTGGAGAGTAAAGGACAAGAAAACACAAGAAACAGAGAAAAGAGGAGAATAAGAGAGAGACAGAGATAGAGAAATAGAGAGATGAGAAAGAGAGAGGAGAACGAGAGCAGAGAGAGCGAGAGAGAGCAAGAGAGTGAGAGAAATTAACTACTAGTGTGTTTTAGCTCTCTCTCAACACTGTTCCCATTCAGACAGAGAGAGCCAGTGGGCCTCTTTCTGGTGGTTTCAACATTTCCAGCTATTAAAACCTCCTTCAAGTCCATTGTTTGGGGGGGGAAGGGAGAGCAGAGCTGGTATTTTCCCTGTGGAGGGAATTGATTTTCCCTGTGGAGGGAATTGATCCAAGCGACGCCAACAAAGGAACATAGGCAACAGTTACTGATCAAGCCTCATGCCAAGTCCTGCCTGCCTATTCCATGGCAGCAGCTAAGTGGAGACAATGAAACACAAGGCTCTCAGTAACATTGGTGTGAGATGGACTTTTCAAGCATCCACCTTTCAAGGAAACAGAATAAAAACAAACAGTTCAAACACTTTTTACAGCTTCCTCAAATAGCCTCAACCAGTACCTTATTCAACAGATTAACGCATGTATTGACCTAATCCAGAACGTTACAAGGAAAAATAGGTGAGAAAACAATTAAAACCACTACAATTGCTCCAGTACGTTTCTGCATGTGGCCTGGGCGATGTAGCCTAATGTCTAGGGTATGTTAAAATAAGCTACACAGTCATCCAAGACTCTTAACCACTTCAAATATTGTTTTCCTTTTGAAAAAACAACTATAAATGTAAACTAATGTGACCACACACATGCCCCCAGTTAGGCTTACATGAGGTCAACGCATTAAAATGCTGGAACCCCTGCCCAGCCCAACCACAGTGTGGTCTAAAGCAGCAAATGCACAAGCACACTGCCAATCCCTGCTTTCCAGTCAGCTCCAAGTTCCAGGGCATGAAAATACAAATGACTTTTGGTCACCAGGTTGTGATAAAATGGGAGTGTTCTGATTTAAACTTCCTTGGCTATTGAGGGGGAAATATGAGCAAATACACTATAATGTTGAATAAACCTTGATGATATAAACGAACGGCTAAGCACAATCTTTGAAGATCATCGGCATTATCCCACTTCTGACACCAATAAAGCAGATATTTACAGTGCAACTTCCCCTGCCGGTCTCGAACCCGGTTCTCCCAGTGTGTAGGCAAACTTACTACCACTGTTCCAATAGCATAAACTCCCTTGGGAGTTGGGAATTTACCTAGGCAAGGGTTGTTTCAAAATATCAAATCATAGAATTTTGGTGGAAGAACACTTACACAGTGGTGAGCCTCTTGAATTCTGGGATTGCCTCCTCAGTCTTCTTGTGGGAGAGGAACCAGTAGATGAGTAGGCCAACGATGAGAGAGAAGAGGAATAGGTCCAAGTTACTGAACAGAGGTTCCTGCTCAACAGGGGCCACGTCAGGGCCCTCCGGGACCACACTCTCTGCCTCCATGTCCTCCATGGGGCCACTCGCTGTCTGACAGGTCAATACTGGCTGCAGCCAGGGCAGAGAAAGGACCTGAGGAAACAATTACATTAACTAGGTGTAAAATTAGGCTATAAGGTAATAATGTAACAAAGGTGGTATATGTGCATCTACACTACCAGTCAGAAGTTTGGACACACCTACTCATTCAGGGGTTTTTCTTTATTTTTACTATTTTTTACATTGTAGAATAATAGTGAAGATATCAAAACTATGAAATAACACATATGGAATCATGTAGTAACCAAAAAAGTGTTAAACAAATCAAAATATATTTTATATTTGAGATTCTTCAAATAGCCACCCTGTCACGATCGTCTAAGGAAGCGGACCAAAGCGCAGCGTTTGTAGCGAACATGTTGACTTTATTAAATAAAGCAACCACGAAAACAACAAAACCAAATGACGATACGTGAAGTCCAAAAGTGACAATGACTGAACAGGAACAAAAACCCACAACCCTCAAGAGAACACAAATAGTTTAAATATGGCTCCCAATCAGAGATAACGAGCCGACAGCTGACACTCGTTACCTCCGATTGGGAGTCACACGACACCACAATTAACTCACCCAAAACACCACCAACCGAATACACCCTATACAACAAACCCCACAACAAAACCCAACAAAACAAATACACCCTGGCTCAAATACAAAAGTCCCGGAGCCAGAGTGTCACAGTACCCCCCCCTAAAGGTGCGCACTCCGGGCGCACCAGCATACAGTCTAGGGGAGGGTCTGGGTGGGCGTCTGTCCACGGTGGCGGTTCTGGCCCTGGTCGTGGTCCCCACCCCACCTTAGTCACCACCCGCTTCCCTAGCCTCCTCCACATGACCACCCTCCAACTTACCCCACCTGGATTTAGGGGCAGCACCGGGCTAAGGGACAGCACCTGGCTAAGGGGCAGCACCGGACTAAGAGGCAGCACCAGGATAAGGGGCAGCACCGGGCTAAGGGACAGCATCGGGCTAAGGGACAGCCCCGGACTCAATGGCGGATCCTGGCTGGCTGGCTCTGGCGGATCCTGGCTGGACGGCTCTGGCGGATCCTGGCTGGCTGACGGATCTGGCTGCTCATGGCTGGCTGACGGATCTGGCTGCTCATGGCTGGCTGACGGATCTGGCTGCTCATGGCTGGCTGACGGATCTGGCTGCTCATGGCTGGCTGACGGATCTGGCTGCTCATGGCTGGCTGACGGATCTGGCTGCTCATGGCTGGCTGACGGATCTGGCTGCTCATGGCTGGCGGAAGGCTCTGGCTGATCCTGTCTGGCGGAAGGCTCTGGCTGATCCTGTCTGGCGGAAGGCTCTGGCTGATCCTGTCTGGCGGAAGGCTCTAGCGGCTCCGGTCTGGCGGACGGCTCTGAAGGCTCATGGCAGACGGGCGGCTTAGCAGGCTCAGTACAGATGGCCAGTTCAAGCGCCTTAGGGCAGACGGGCAGTTCAGACCCCGTTGGGCAGACGGCAGACTCTGGCCGTCTGAGGCGCACCGTAGGCCTGGTGCGTGGTGCCGGAACTGGAGGTACCGGGCTGAGGACACGCATCTCAGGGCTAGTGCGGGGAGAAGCAACAGGGCATGCTGGACCCTGGGGACGCACATAAGGCCTAGTGCGGAGAGAAGCAACAGGGCATGCTGGACCCTGGGGACGCACATAAGGGCTAGTGCGGAGAGAAGCAACAGGGCATGCTGGACCCTGGGGACGCACATAAGGGCTAGTGCGGAGAGCAGCAACAGGACGCACAGGACTCGGGGAACACACAGGAGGCTTGGTGCGTGGTGTAGGCACTGGTGGTACTGGGCTGGAGCGGGGAGGTGGCGCCGGAAATACCGGACCGTGCAGGCTTACTGGCCCCCTTGAGCACTGAGCCTGCCCAACCTTACCCGGGTTGATGCTCCCCGTCGCCCGACCAGTACGGGGAGGTGGAATAACCCGCACCGGCCTATGTGGGCGAACCGGGAACACCATGCGTAAGGCTGGTGCCATGTACGCCGGCCCGAGAAGACGCACTGGTAGCCGGATGCGTTGGGCCGGCTTCATGACATCTGGCTCAATGCTCACTCTAACCCGGCCGATACGTGGAGCTGGAATGTACCGAACCGGGCTATGCCTGCGTACAGGAGACACCATGCGCTCTACTGCGTAACACGGTGTCTGCCCGTACTCTCGCTCTCCACGGTCAGTCCAGGGAGTAGGCGCAGGTCTCCTACCTGACTTCGCCACACTCCCTTTTAGCCCCCCCCCAAGAAATTTTTGGGTAGTACCCACGGGCTTCCAGCCTCGACTCCGTGCTGCCTCCTCATACCACCTCCTCTCGGCTTTAGCTGCCTCCAGCTCTTCACGAGGGCGGCGATATTCTCCCGGTTGTGCCCAAGGACCCTTTCCATCCAGTATCTCCTCCCATGTCCATGAATCCTTGATAGGCGTCCATAAATCCTGTTGCCGCTTGACACGCTGCTTGGTCCTTTTATGGTGGGTTTTTCTGTCACGATCGTCTAAGGAAGCGGACCAAAGCGCAGCGTTTGTAGCGAACATGTTGACTTTATTAAATAAAGCAACCACGAAAACAACAAAACCAAATGACGATACGTGAAGTCCAAAAGTGACAATGACTGAACAGGAACAAAAACCCACAACCCTCAAGAGAACACAAATAGTTTAAATATGGCTCCCAATCAGAGATAACGAGCCGACAGCTGACACTCGTTACCTCCGATTGGGAGTCACACGACACCACAATTAACTCACCCAAAACACCACCAACCGAATACACCCTATACAACAAACCCCACAACAAAACCCAACAAAACAAATACACCCTGGCTCAAATACAAAAGTCCCGGAGCCAGAGTGTCACACACCCTTTGCCTTGATGACAGCTTTGCACACTCTTGGCATTCTCTCAACCAGCTTCATGAGGTAGTCACCTGGATTGCATTTCAATTAACAGGTGTGCCTTCTTAAAAGTGTATTTGTGGGACATCTTTCCTTCTTAATGCATTTGAGCCAATCAGTTGTGTTGTGACAAGGTAGGGGGGGGGGGGGGGGGGGGGGGGGGGGGGGGGTATACAGAAGATAGCCCTATTTGGTATAAGACCAAGTCCATATTATGGCAAGAACAGCTCAAATAAGCAAAGAGAAACGACTTTAAGACATGAAGGTCAGTCAATCCAGAAAATGTAAAGAACTTGAGAGAATGCCAAGAGTGTGAAAAGCTGTCATCAAGGCAAAGGGTGGCTATTTGAAGAATCTCAAATATAAAATATATTTTGATTTGTTTAACACTTTTTTGGTTACTACATGATTCCATATGTGTTATTTCATAGTTTTGATGTCTTTACTATTATTCTACAATGTACAAAATAGTAAAAATAAAGAAAAACACTTAAATGAGTAGGTGTGTCCAAACTTTTGACTGGTACTGTATATTGCCTCATTTGCATACTTTAATTAAATATTTCAGAAAAGGTGTAATACAAAAACTCAACTGGTAAAGATTAATTTTGAAATATATAAAGATTTAAAAAACGACCCTATTAGGGTGTGGCTTAAACTATGGCCTTAGCCTATGCAGTATACTATTCAGGCTACCTGTAATATAGTCCTAATGTACTATATGCCTTCTGCTGACATTTTAGAAAACATTCCAGGTGACAACAAATGGGTAAAGCCATTTGAATTCAATCACTTTTTGACAGACTTTCCTTCAAAATGGCTATCCATGTTTTGAAATAAGACTTGCAAACTCATTTGTTCAGTCTCACCAAAAAACTTGTCCATTTCATGTGACCTCCATAATGCCTCTTATTTTCTTTCTTTCTCCAACATGCCAGAATTCCGCTTTTTGGGGTATACACTCCCCCCAAGGGGTACTATAGACACAAAAGTTTCATTCATATTTTGTTTGTCCATTCGTTGTGATTTTGCATGCAAATGTAACATCCAGAACGCTGTAAGTAATATCAGTGTTGGCAGCAGCATAGTTAGTGAGATGAATGTTTGACACAGCTGAGATTCAGTCATGTAAAGATGAGTGATGACTTGGATTTTGCCAGCATTTCTCTCCATTGGTATGACAAAATGAAAGGCAGAATGTTGTGCTCTAGGCTCAAGTAGTACTGAGAACCATTTTTGTCTTTCAATATGCCTTTACTTATTCTGTCAGTCACGCACAAAAAAACATTGAAAGCCTGTGGGTAACTTCGTAATTTAATCACAAGAGGAAAATGTGAGCAAAATGTACACATTGTTCTTTTGAATTTCAGTCCATACATACAGCATGCTATGGATAAAGAAAGTAACTGAAAGCTATAGTGTCATATACCTGGTATTTCCAATAAGTTCTGTCAGTTTTGATAGATGACTTCTGTTGCATCACATTTCCCCCATTATAGCATACAGTCTTGTTGTCTGGGGCCAATTCAATGAAAACAAATGCAAAATGACAAATAATTATCCCAATTGTTCAATTACACCAATTAAAATTATTGAATGAGGTATATATTAAGGTCGATAATAGTTTTAACAAATAAAAACTCACTGGTGCACACTTCACTATTGTACTTTAAAATGAAGAAGGGAAATGGTAGAACTGGGCGGGGTTTGCTGCTGGTTGCTGGTCTGGGCTGACTGTTAGGGGTTAAGGTTAGGTTAGGGTTAGGAGTTAGGTTAATCAGCTAGTGTTAGGGGAAGGGTTAGTTAACATGCTAAGTAGTTGCAAAGTAGCTCAAAAGTAGTAAGTACACTGAACAAAAATATAAACACAACATGCAACAATTTCAAAGATTTTACTGAGTTTGTATTTGTATTTATTATGGATTCCCATTAGCTGCCGCCAAGGCAGCAGCGACTCTTCCTGGGGACCAGCAAAATTAAGGCAGTTATATATATATATTTTTTTAAACATTACAATACATTCACTACAGATTTCACAACATATTAAGTGTGTGCCTTCAGGCCCCTACTCTACTACCACATATCTACAACACAAAATCCATGTGTACGTGTGTGTATAGTGCGTATGTTATCGTGTGTTTGTATGCATGTGTCTGTGTCTATGTTTGTGTTGCTTCACAGTCCCCGCTGTTCCATAAGGTGTATTTTTATCTGTTTTTTAAATCTAATTTTACTGCTTGCATGAGTTACTTGATGTGGAATAGAGTTCCATGTAGTCATGGCTCTATGTAGTACTGTGCGCCTCCCATAGTCTGTTCTGGACTTGGGGACTGTGAAGAGACCTCTGGTGGCATGTCTTGTGGGGTATGCATGGGTGTTTGAGCTGTTTGCCAGTAGTTCAAACAGACAGCTCGGTGCATTCAACATGTCAATACCTCTCACAAATACAAGTAGTGATGAACTAAATCTCTCCTCCACTTTGAGCCAGGAGAGATTGATATGCATATTATTAATGTTAGCTCTCTGTGTACATCCAAGGGCCAGCCGTGCTGCCCTGTTCTGAGCCAATTGCAATTTTCCAAAGTCCCTCTTTGTGGCACCTGACTACACAACTAGATAGTAGTCCAGGTGCAACAAAACAAGGGCCTGTAGGACCTGCCTTGCTGATAGTGCTGTTAAGAATGCAGCGTAGCGCTTTATTATGGACATATTTCTCCCCATCCTAGCTACTGTTGTATCAATATGTTTTGACCGTGACAGTTTACAATCCAGGGTTACTCCAAGCAGTTTAGTCTCCTCAACTTGATTCACATTATTCATTACAAGCTTTACTCAAAGCCAGTGGCATGAGGTTAGTAAAGATTGAATAAAGTAAGGTCCTAGACAGCTGCCCTGGGGAATTCCTGATTATACCTGGATTTTGTTGGAGAGGCTTCCATTAAAGAACACCCTCTGTGTTCTGTTAGACAGGTAACTCTTTATCCACAATATAGCAGGGGGTGTAAAGCCATAACACATACGTTTTTTCAGCAACAGACTATGATCGATAATGTCAAAAGCAGCACTGAAGTCTAACAAAACAGTTTATATAAGGAAATCAGTCAATTAAAATAAATGAATTAGGCCCTAATCTATGGATTTCACATTACCGGGAATATAGATATGCATCTGTTGGTCACAGATACCTTAAAAAAAATAAAGTATGGGGCGTGGATCAGAAAACCAGTCAGTATCTCTTCAATGGCTGTGTGAAGTTCCTGGATATTGGCAGGAACTGGAACACGCTGTCGTACACGTCGATCCAGAGCATCCCAAACATGCTCAATGGGTGGCATGTCTGGTCAGTATGCAGGCCATGGAAGAACTGGGACATTTTCAGCTTAAAGGAATTGTGTAAAGATCCTTCGGTCGTGCAAACCCACAGTTTCATCAACTGTCCGGGTGGCTGGTCTCAGACGATCCCGCAGGTTAAGAAGCTGGATGTGGAGGTCCTGGGCTGGCGTGGTTACACGTGGTCTGCGGTTGTGAGGCCGGTTGGACATACCGCCAAATTTTCTAAAATGATGTTGGAGGCGGCTTATGGTAGAGAACTGAACTTTAAATTATCTGGCAATAGCTCTGGTGGACATTCCTGCAGTCAGCATGCCAATTGCACGCTCCCTCAAAACTTGAGACATCTGTGGCATTGTGTTGTCTGACAAAACTGCACATTTTAGAGTGGCCTTTTATTTTCCTCAGCACAAGGTGCACCTGTGTAATGATCATGCTGTTTAATCAGCTTCTTGATATGCCACACCTGTCAGGTAGATGGATTATCTTGGCAAAGGAGAAATGCTCACTAACAGGGATGTAAACAAATGTGTGCACAAAATGTGAGATAAATAAGCTTTTTGTGCGTATGCAACATTTCTGGGATCTTTTATTTCAGCTCATGAAACATGGGACCAACATTTTAGAAGTTGTGTTCATATTTTTGTTCAGTGTAGTTGCAAAGTTGCTAATTAGCTCAAATGCTAAAGTTGTCCATGATGAGATTAGAACAAACAACCTTTGGGTTACTAGACATTCATTTTTGCCTTACCAAACTTAATATATCATACTCATTTGAGTGTCCTGAATTTACGTTTACTATGTTACGTCTAGTCAATGTAATGTAACATAAAGTAGCATATAATCCTAAATAGAGTGGCAAGGATTTTTGTTAAAGGTGCACTATGCAGAAATCGCTTCGTCATTTCCTGGATGCTAAAATTCTAATAGTTAGCCTAATTTCAGTTTATTTGACAAAACAAGCAAGTATAGTGTAGGGAATCATTCTACCATCTAAACCACTGTGAAATATATTTTCCATAACCAAAAATATTGTATTTTCAGCTTTTTGAAGCTGGTTTACAAAACCGAAAGTAAAAGACGCAAAACGAAACTTAAGAATGGGAAGCATATAGAAACAGTGCATATAGAACAGATCTACCGCTTCTTTCAATGAATCAACAGATCTATAACTCATATTTCTATGTGAATTTGGTCTGGTCTCCCAAAAAGTTACATATTGCAGCTTTAAATATAATACGTTTGCTCTGAGACCAGGCTAAACATTTTGGTTGCTAGACTTTTGCTTTATAACCAACCACCCTCCTTTCATTTTTGCCTTAAGTAACATACTCTCCGTACCAAACGTAACATATCATACTAATTTGAGTATCCCGGTTTTATGTTTACTATGATACCTCTAGTCAAAGTAATATAACCTAACATAAAGTAACATATAATACTAAATGGAGTGGCACGGATTTTAGTAAAATATAATACGTTTTGCTCTGAGATCAGGGTTTATGACTTTGTGACTGTGGTAACTCCTGATGAGCCTCACGTTTATGTACATAGTGCTTTAAAAATAGCATCACAGTGAAAGTAGGCTAAAGGCCGGCAGATGGCGATATTGAGTAGTTTCATTTTACCAGCCAAAGGGAACGTGTGCAGCCAGGTATACACTCCTGTCACCCTTTGAACGGTTCATATATAACATATTCTCCATTCAGGCTGGCAAGAAGGCATAAAAAAACGGGGGAAATATGCATACTTTTTTTTATCCCTTACGAAAAAAGATTGCAGTCAGAGTGCAGTATAACGGCATTATGCTGCAAATACTGCTTCCAAAACAACAACAAGATTTTACTGCAGTTCAACTGCAGTACACTGCAGTTATACTGCACTTTTACTTCAGTTTCAAAACTGCAATCTTTTTTTGTAAGGGATGAAACAGCATTTTCCACCACCATTGACATTTTAATAATTTAGCAGACGCTCTTATCCAGAGCGATTTACAGTTAGTGAGTGCATACATTTTCATACTGGCCCCCCGTGGGAAACGAACCCACAACCCTGGCGTTGCAAGCGCCATGCTCTACCAACTGAGCTACAGGGGACCATGCTAGAGTGGCTAATGCTAGTCCTGGATGTTGTATAATGCGTTCAGTCAATAAGGTTGCAGTAGTCTGTTTTTTCACAGTCAGTGCTATCAAGGATCCTTGGGACTTCCCTACCCTTACCTTAGTAATTTTAAATGTAAACTTCAATGGGGTAGGGATGTCGCAAGGATCCTGGCTGTGCCTGTGTCCTGCTGCCTATCCTGTGCTGCTGACTACCTGGCGTGCCCTGGAATTATCCCTGACTGCCATGCCCCTTACCACCACACCCACATACATTGACTTCCTATTTATTATGGGTTTTAGGCTGAATATCTGTAAAACACTTGATGTCAAAAGGGCTTTACAAAATAAATGTGATTGGTTGAAGTGTGCTGCCTTCTATTTCGTTATATATAATCATACAATTCATTTATATGATGCAATTTGTTTTATTGATATTATTTATTGACTATTAATTACACAAGTTTATGAACATATCATTTAATAAACCTGTAAACACAATCATTACATTAATTGCATATTGCATCTGGGGTATGTATTTTACTCTAAATCAAATTTTTACTTCATAATTTCACTTATTAAATGTTTAGTCTTTATTAAAACTGTGAATAATGTTCTGTAAATGAGTTTATGCAAACAAATCCAATACATATCATTAAAAACAGTGTTCAGTAAGCACATTTAGTTTGAAACTATCAGACCAGGGGTGAAAAAACGGACTGCTACAACCTGATTGGCTGAACGCGTTACACAACAACATCCGGGACTAGCATTAGCCACTCTAGTATGGTGGTTGAAAATGGTTCCCCATCCCCTTTGGTTGGTAAGCTGAAATGACTCAATATCGCCATCTGCCAGCCTTTGGGCTACAGCGAAATGTCATTTAATTTTTTATTTATTTAACTAGGCAAGTCAGTTAAGAACAAATTATTATTTACAATGACGGCCTACACCGGCCAAACCCGGACAACACTGGACCAATTGTGCGCCGCCCTATGGGACTCCCAATCACGGCCGGTTGTGATACAGCCTGGAATCGAACCAGGGGGTCTGTAGTGACGCCTCAAGCACTGAGATGCAGTGCCTTAGACCGCTGCGCCACCATGTCCCTGAAAGCTCCTATAATTGAACTAATTAAGAGCTCACTTTGATATCAACCATCCTATCAAACCATCGAGAAGAACACTATCCATCCTCAAAATAGTATGAGACAAGAAGAAAGTAATATTGTCAACATATCCCTAACATACCAGTAGTAATACGCATGGCACAGTCTCATGATGAAACATTTAATTAACAAAGCACAGACTCAGTCAGTGGCTTATTATTGCAGTGAGCTCTCTTTTGACACAGCTGAATATGTAGACAGTTTAGTGATTGTCAGTGCAAGGCTTGTAATTCTCTTCCACTGTAATATATCCAACCTATTCAGGTAATCTCACACACAATTAAATAATGTGATGCTGAAAGTGACAAGCTGCATTTCACAGAAAAACAAAGAACAATGTGATTTACACAAAACATGTTTGATAAAAAGGTGCAACAGAAAAAAGCAAACGTTTACAAGACACACGTATAAAATAGACATAAAAAGCACATTAGTATAACACCTTTTGCACATATTCTTTTGAATAAATAGTTGGGTTCATAACAATGTCCAGTTATCTTTCTCTTCCAGTCTTATAGGCTCTTGGACTTGTCTTGGTTGTGGATGTACTTATGGTAGACTACTCCAAGTGTGGTGGAGAAGTTCCCCATGAACAACACAAGGTAGGAGCAGCCACACATGAAGACCTGTAGGGTGGGGAGGGAGGACAGGTTAGGAATACAGTAGCAAATGTTCACTTTAAATTTGACTGTCAACAAAATAAAATACAAAAAAACTAAAAGGAGCTTGCCACATATTCATATAAAGTTTAATTCATTTTCTCTGTGAAATGAAAAGAGCATCTGTGAAATGCACTGACCTGCCACTCTTTACACTCTGGGAGCTGGGCCATCCTGAACAGTGTTAGGCCATTGTAAAGCTGCCAGAACTACAAACACACAGAACATAGCTGTGTCACTCTTCCTCAAGACATACAACTGCAGTAACAACAATATCCAGAAATAACTTTGGTACTTTCAATAACCTAAATTGCTGAGAAGAGGATGGACTATGACCCACCCACCCCGATACTCACATGACCAAAGAACAGGAAGGGCAGAAGGAAGGTCAGGCCTCGCCACATCCACGACTGGAAACCCTCTGAGGTGGAGGAATGTTTGTTTACGTCACTAAATACACAACATGACCAAAGTATGTGGACACCTGCTCGTCGAACATCTCATTCCAAAATCATGGACAATAATATGGAGTTGGTCCCCCCTTCACTGCTATAACAGCCTCCACTCCTCTGGGAAGGCTATCCACTAGATGTTTGAACATTGCTTCGGCTACTTGCTTCCAATCATACACAAGAGCATTAGTGAGGTCGGGCACTGATGTTGGGCGATTAGGCCTGGCTCGCAGTCGTTCCAATTCATCCCAAAGATGTTCGATGGGGTTGAGGTCAAGGCTCTGTGCAGGCCAGTCAAGTTCTTCTACACTGATCTCAACAAACCATTTCTGTATGGACCTCGCTTTGTGCACGGGGGCATTGTCATGCTGAAACAGGAAAGGGCCTTCCCCAAATTGTTGCCACAAAGTTGGAAGCACAGAATCGTCTAGAATGTCATTGTATGCTGTAGTCTAAGATTTCCCTTCACTGGAACTAAGGGGCCTAGCCCGAACCATGAAAAACAGCCCCAGACCATTATTCCTCCTCCACCAAACTTTACAGTTGGCACTATGCATTCGGGCAGGTAGCGTTCTCCTGGCATCCGCCAAACCCAGATTATTCCGTCGCACTGCCAGATGGTGAACTGTGATTCATCACTTCAGAGAACGCGTTTCCACTGCTCCAGTGTCGGCGAGCTTTACATCACTCTAGCTGAAGCTTGGCATTGCGCATGGTGATCTTAGGCTTGTGTGTGGCTGCTCGCCCATGGAAACCCATTTCATGAAGCTCCCGACGAACAGTTATTGTGCTGACGTAGCTTACAGAGGCAGTTTGGGATTCGGTAGTGAGCGTTGCAACCTAGGACAGACGATTTTTACGCGCTTCAGCACTCGGCGGTCCCGTTCTGTGAGCTTGTGTGGCCCATCACTTCGTGGCTGACCTGTTGTTGCTCCTAGATGTTGCCACTTCACAATAACAGCATTTACAGTTGACCGGAGCAGCTCTAGCAGGGCAGAAATTTGACGAACTGACTTGTTGGAAAGGTGGTATCCTATGGCGGTGCCACGTTGAAAGTCACTGAGCTCTTCAGTAAGGCCATTCTACTGCCAATGTTTGTCTATGGAGATTGCATGGCTGTGTGCTCGATTTTATACACCTGTCAGCAACGGGTGTGGCTGAAATAGCCGAATCCACTAATTTGAAGGGGTGTCCACATACTTATGTATATATAGTGTATATGGAATGCACTTTTTTTTTTTTTTTTTTTTTACATTTTAGTCATTTTAGCAGACGCTCTTATCCAGAGCGACTTACAGTTAGTGAGTGCATACATCATTTTTTATTTTATTTATACTGGCCCCCCATGGGAATCGAACCCACAACCCTGGCGTTGCAAACGCCATGCTCTACCAACTGAGCTACATCCCTGCCGGTCATTCCCTCCCCTACCCTGGACGACGCTGAGCCAATTGTGCGCCGCCCCATGGGTCTCCCGGTCGCGGCCGGCTACGACAGAGCCTGGATTCGAACCAGGTTCTCTAGTGGCACAGCTAGCACTGCGATGCTGTGCCTTAGACCACTGCGCCACTGCGCCATAACCATATACTATACAATACCAGTAAACATGTACTATACAGCTGCAAACTACAGTATGTGTTGATGATGATATTAGGTCAATGGAGGAGTGATGGAGGAGTAATTTTGGTCATGTACCTCTTAAACACGTGTGATCAGTGAGTAGTCATGATGACACACAACAATGTGTAACTTCTCACTCACCAACTGTCAAGTCCATGTTGTGACTCTCTCCCAGGGCTCGAAGTCTGTACAGACAGCCACTCTGGTAATAGTACTGGAGAAACTGGACAAAACCTATTTGGCACAGACAACACAACAACAGAAGTGTACTGTATTAATACTGACACTATTCTATTTCGTCCCAGGTTTTGGGTCAATACCATTTTCATTTCAAAGGTGAATTAATTGAAATGTCTATTCAAAAGTTGAATAGTGCCATTTGTTTTCAATAATGATAGCCTCAGATTAAAAACAACTGTATGCAATTTACTCCATAGTCAATTCTCACTTAAAGATTTTACAGTTGTCTTACTTTGGTACAAGCAGTAGGTGAGGAACTGATTCCTGAACATCTGGTAGAGTATGCCTTCCGGCCTGTAGGACAGACAGGGCAGTTAGATAAGTACTATGGTGAAAATTCCATTCTAGCCAATCAGAGGGCATAAAAATACATTTGGGTCAAGGGTCAACAAGCTACCTAATGTGTTCTTCTTGTCTTGTGCACTCATAAATATGGTAATAAAAATTGTAATATGGTAACATACTAAAACTCCAGGCCTCTGAGGCTGCAGTGTTCAGTGTCTCCCTCGTGCTTAATTTGATCACATGCCCAGCCATAGTTAGAGTGATACCATATTGCAGATATAGAACATTGGGGTGCACTTACCAAGTCAGCATCACTCCAGACAGGAAGCAGAACACATAGTGATGAAACACCCACCAACCCTTGATCCTGAAGCAAACAAACAAACAAGTCACACCAAGATCTATGTACAGGCCACAGCGAATAAATAGCTATAACGGACAGTACATATGAGATATAAATCAGTGTATTATAAATGCAGGATTGTACATTAAAGTACAGTAGGCATCAACATGCCTCCATGTAATGAGGCAGACACAGACAGTGTGCTGTTTCATTGGACCACTGTTGTAGTGCACACACACAGTGGTGCAGTGTCTTCAGCTGAATGCAAACACACACCAGCAGTATGAAATGGATAATGGCCTGAAGGTTGACTACTGACCTGGAGCCATTGCTAATGAGGATACTCTCCCGAATGGTCAGTGTGCAGTAGTACCACACCAGCAGGAAGTTGAAGAGAGCGTCTAAGGCTCTGCCAAACAAAGACGTACACAACCACAAACACTAGTTCAAAGTTCACGGAGTTCAGAGTCAAAGACAAACAGGAGCAAATGTAATTTATAGGTATTAGTGCATGATAACAATATATTACAGCTAATAATACATACAATAGTGGAACGTTTTTAATGAGTTCAAAATGTTTGATAATACTCCTGATATGGATTGTGAGTAAAATGGCATATGAGAGGTTACTCACCTGTAACTAAATACAAAGCGACATGTGAATGAGAAGAAGAGGAGTAGGACGGTGAGGACCAATTTGAATTTCTCATATTCATCTTTGTAGGCAAATCTTGTGGCGAGAGAACAGAGAAAAAGCATCGGTTACGTTCACCAAGAGGCAAACAGTTAGAGTATGAGTTCTCGTTGTCATGTCATCATTATTAAATTGCAATACATTTGTTAAATTACTGAAAAGCGCTTACTTGGAGTGTTTGTTGAGCAATGTTACATTCACGTTCCCAAGAACGAGACTGAGGTATAACCTGTACAGCAAAGGAGAGAGAATTCTATCAAGAAAAAAACTGTCAACAAATCTTCTCTAATAGAGAGCCAAACTCGCTTTTGTCTAGTAGAGAGCCAACCCGTATCAAGCTAAACTGTTTTACATTGCCAGTTTGAACTGCACACTATGTGCTTAAGGCGTGTTGTAGTAGATAACCTAACACCGAGACGGTAGCCTGCGAACTGTTAGTGCTATGCAAAAGACGGCTATATTTGTTTTACTCATTCTTCTTTGGCAGGAAAGACTCCATTTCAAAGAAAACATTTGGCCTGTCCTTGATAGATTCCTGGATCCCATCTATTGCATTCATTTCCTCTGGACTCAGTGTTTCTTTGCATCTAAAAAGGAAAAAGACAACATGATTTAGTAATAAGTACAAAGTGGAACAATAGAATAACGAGAACTATGACTACAGTGTAGGTCTATTACACTGTTATTACTAAATAACACTGAAAAATGTGAGGTTCCATGTGTCCTATTACATCAACTGTGCTTGATACTCACTCTCCCAGCGACACTGTGAGCTCTTTTAATTTCTTCCTCTGTCGTGCTATGGCATTGGAGCAGCTGTCTTGTAGCTTGGACACCTCCTCAAGCTTCTGTTTATACAGACGGTGAGTCTCCTAGAGGAAAACAGAGATGGTAAGAACAATTTAGCATCTCTATTGTGCATATGCATCACTTTGTATCATCTCAATCACTCAGCAATGTGGTTGGACTAGATATAGCCTACATGATGGGATATTTCACTAACTGACACTTATTGTCATTGCACGTAACCTACAGTTGAAGTCGGAAGTTTACATACACTTAGGTTGGCGTCATTAAAACTAGTTTTTCAACCACTCCACAAATTTCTTGTTAATAAACTATAGTTTTGGCAAGTCGGTTAGGACATCTACTTTGTGCATGACACAAGTAATTTTTCCAACAATTGTTTACAGACAGATTATTTCACTATCACAATTCCAGTGGGTCAGAAGTTTACATACACTAAATTGACTGTGCCTTTAAACAGCTTGGAAAATTCCAGAAAATGATGTCATGGCTTTAGAAGGTTCTGTTAGGCTAATTGACATCATTTGAGTCAATTGGGGGTGTACCTGTGGATGTATTCCAAGGCCTACCTTCAAACTCAGTGCCTCTTTGCTTGATATCATGGGAAAATCAAAAGAAATCAGCCAAGACCTAATTTTAATAGAAAGTTTGCAAAAATAGATAAGATCTTGCTACCATGGAAAGGTAAATACCTGCCAATTTGTGGAAAAATCACCCTGATTAACTCTTTAGTATTATCCCAGTTTACCTATTTGCTTATGGTCTTGCCTACGCCTAGCGAACAGTTTTTTAAATTATATGAGAAAAAGATATTCACTTTTATTTGGAACGGCAAGCCAGACAACATTAAACGGGCCCATTTATATAATGAATTTGAATTCAGAGGACAGAAATGATTAAATATTAAAGCATTAGACCTATCACTAAAAGCTTCAGTCATACAAAAGTCATACTTAAATCCGAACTGCTTCTCTAGCAAATTAGTAAGATTGTCTCACCCAATGTTCAAGAACAGCCTTTTTCCCTTTCTTCAGATTACAACCTGTCACTTTCAGTTATTTGTAAAGGAAATAAATCTCCCAAATATCACTATTTCTAAAACAAGCCATAGAAAGTTGGTTGCAATTTCAATTTAATCCCCCAGAAACGACAGAACAAATAATGCAAAAAATATTGTGGTTAAACTCAAATATACTAATTGATACTGTAGCTCAGTTGGTAGAGCATGGCGCTTGCAACGCCAGGGTTGTGGGTTCGTTTCCCACGGGGGGCCAGTATGAAAAATGTATGCACTCACTAACTGTAAGTCGCTCTGGATAAGAGCGTCTGCTAAATGACTAAAATGTAAATAAAAAACCATTATTCTTTGAAAAAATGTTTTAAAAAAGGTATAATCTTCATAAATGATATCATAGGTAGGACTAAATAAAAAAGTATACCACTTTCATTTAAGGACCAAAGGATTGACAGCTGTCCCATATAGCAAAATAGTTGGGAAGAGATTTTTGATGTACCGATTCCATGGCATAGTGTTTATGAAAAAAAGGGGGTTACTTGAAAGCCGAAGAACACCATCCCAACCGTGAAGCACGGGGGTGGCAGCATCATGCTGTGGGGGTGCTTTGCTGCAGGAGGGACTGGTGCGCTTCACAAAATAGATGGCATCATGAGGAAGGAAAATTATGTGGATATATTGAAGCAACATCTCAAGACATCAGTCAGGAAGTTTGGTCGCAAATGGGTCTTCCAAATGGACAATGACCCCAAGCATACTTCCAAAGTTGTGGCAAAATGGCTTAAGGACAACAAAGTCAAGGTATTGGAATGGCCATCACAAAGCCCTGACCTCAATCCTAAAGAAGATTTGTGGGCAGAACTGAAAAAGCGTGTGCGAGCAAGGAGGCCTACAAACCTGACTCAGTTACACCAGCTCTGTCAGGAGGAATGGGCCAAAATTCACCCAACTTATTGTGGGAAGCTTGTGGAAGGCTACCCGAAACGTTTGACCCAAGTTAAACAATTTAAAGGGAATGCTACCAAATACTAATTGAGTGTATGTAAACTTCTGACCCACTGGGAATGTGATGAAAGAAATAAAAGCTGAAAGAAATCACTCTCTACTATTATTCTGACATTTCACATTCTTAAAATAAAGTGGTGATCCTAACTGACCTAAGAATTTTTTACAAGGATTAAATGTCAGGAATTGTGAAAAACTGAGTTTAAATGTATTTGGCTAAGGTGTATGTAAACTTCTGACTTCAACTGTAAGTATGACCATAACGCTGTATCAAAAAGCGTGCTTGTGCTAAGCCTATTCATTTTGTTTAGGCTAAGTTTCATAATCTACCTTGACATTTGTACAGAACAGAAGGTCTCACACTTTGGGAATTATGGAAATGAATTTCAAAATGTTGGTCTAGTTGTACTGCTTGCTTGTGAGGCTTCCAATGCAACTGTTTTTATCTCAATATCAAAACCTTACTGTGATTGTTTTCAATTAAAATGGTCAAAAAGAAAACAAAAATAGCTTCTTAGCAAAGAGCAATTTCTCAAGCAAGAATTTTGCTAGGACTGTCTGGGAGTCGTCTGAGTGGGGAGGGGAAAACTGAAAACTAGCTTTTATTGGCAGAGAGGTTTGGAACTCTTGGTCTATAACAAATGTACCGCCTGGTGCTGACACCAGGCAGGCCAAAACGCCATCCCACCACAACAGGCTGACATTTCAGGCGGTCTTTTCAAACAGCTCTTACACTATAAGAGCATTATCCTAATTTCAAAGTATTATTCCAACCTCATAGTTGAACTATATATAAAAACACAGGAAAATCAAGTTGACTGCACTGGGCCTTTAAAAAATAAGAAAAGAGATAGCTACTGATCTGTATGCCCTCCAATGTTATAACATCCCAAGAGTTTTAATGTCAATTTACAGTGATAAATTGTAGCAGCAAATTCAAATTAGTTCAAAATATATTTCATAGTGATATTTTTTGTTGGTAGAAATCAGATAATCCGGAAGCAGCCTATTATCACCAGGTTGGATACAGAACGTGTTTGATATCATATTATAGTGGAATTTAATATATATAAAGTATGATATATTTCACGTATTATATGTAGTACTGTACTGTGGTATGATTGTTGAATGGATTTTGGGATATTTCATATGTCTTAATTACATTTCAAGGTACAACTTTAAACAAACAAACTTTACGACATTGTTGTGCCTGTCCAACTACTGCTGTAATCCTGTGATAAGAACCTGTGTGCCATTTTTTGTTAAAAAATGAAATCAGATTATCAAAACAGCTTTCAACAAGTTTTTGGTCCTACCGAAGAACCTTCATTCTTGCATTCTTTCTTGGATGTGCTAGCTAGCTATGTTGACAGTTTGCCAGAGTAGTGGCACACTGAGTGTGGACAGCTTGTTCATGAACACCCCATGCCATGGATAATTCCCATGACATTTAGTTAGATTACTATTTCAAGGAACTCGCTAACGTTAGTCAGTTCAGGATTGTAAAATGTGCAATCGCAGCTAGCTAGCCTACAAGTACATGTTTCTGGATTGGCGAGCATTATATAGCTACCTAACTAGCTAGCTAACGTTACCTACCTAGCTAGCTAGCTAGCTGTCGTCAGCACACATTGTGCGGATTAGCTATTTTATGTGCGTCTGGCCGTAGCGAGTTGGCGAACCGCTAACTTCAGGTCAGCAAGTTTGTAGGAAATATACTTTTCTAAAACATGCCCCTTACCTGGACCCGTTGAAAGTCTTTTTCCAGACCCTCCCACTCCTGTAAGCAATCAGCCAAACTAGTTGGGTTGAATAACATTGTATTCCTATGTGGGCAAAGGCAAGACCACAAGAACTTTCAGCTGTGCAACAGTTGTAAAACCTATCACTTCGAGGACACCTCTTCCAACTCTGTTTATCCAATGAGGTATCCCGATTCATTTCTTGGAGTTTTCACCGCCCATGCGTGAGCCAATGAACGCCTTCGAATAATTCAACAGCTGCTTCGGTCACTATTTCTGTATTTTTTGCGCAAGATCATGGTGTTCTCAGTGGTGGAAAAATTTCCCAATTGTCATACTTAAGTAAAAGTAAAGATACATTCATATAAAAGGACTCAAGTAAAAGTGAAAGTCACCCAGTAAAATACTACTTGAGTAAAAGTCTAAAAGTATTTGGTTTTAAATATACATAAGTATCGAAAGTAAATGTAATTGCTAAAATATACTTAAGTATCAAAAGTAAAAGTATAAATCATTTCAAATTCCTTATATTAAGCAAACCAGACTGCACGATTGTCTCCTAAAAAAAAAAAAGTGAATGGATAGCCAGGGGCACACTCCAACACTCAGACATAATTTACAAATGAAGCATTTGTGTTTAGTGAGTTCACCAGATCAGAGGCAGTTGGGATGACCAGGGATGTTCTCTTGATAAGTCTGTGGATTGGACAATTTTCCTGTCCTGCTAAGCATTCAAAATGTAAGGAATACTTTTGGGTGTCAGGGAAAATGAATGGAGTAAAAAGTACATTATTTTATTTAGGATGTAGTAAAGTAAAAGTTGTCACAAATATAAATAGTAACGTAAAGTACATATATCCCCAAAAATGACTTAAGTAGTACTTTAAAGTATTTTTACTTAAGTACTTTACACCACTGGGTGTGCCACTGGACCTTATCATTACATTGATTACATAATCCTGAAAAGTTGTCATTCAGCATTCCTATGAAATTCTTAGGACCTATGATTACAGAATATCAGCAGGACAAATGTATCAATGTGTATAAGTGGTTTTAGGTGCACTGATGCCTGGGTCTTCAGAAAACATAATATTGCATATGGAAAGTGAATATCTTACAATGAACTGATGATCAGCAAGCCTATGGCCTGACAAGCAACGCTTGCAAGCTGGTTCTCACATAATTGTGTTTGTGTGTGTGTGTGTACTATGTCCATACTTTAAATATTTGTGAGAAATTGGTGCTCATTGCATGCTAATGTTATCAACCACCCAAGAAGGCCAATATAAAGGAGGAAGGGAACTTCATGACAAAAATATCCATGTATTTTTTATTTGCTTTGGGTAAATAGTGTTCCAGTGAATTACAGGGCTTTGGTGCCATTAAGGTCTGGACTAATTCAAATTATCTACTGTCCATCTTAATAGCGGGGCTTAATAGCGGGGCTCTGCAATATCAGTCATTCTTCTACCCAGTGTGTGCAGCTCCCAGTCGGACAGCTGTTGAACAAACACTCGGTTTGGCCTCATGTTGGTTTTACATTGCATGACATGCTCCCAGGCCTCCTGCAGTGAGAAAAGTGCCATCAATATCATAACGGTGTGGCGGGAATAACAGAAAAATTAGCCACTCACCAAATGCAGCAGCTTACAGGTTAGTCGAGATAATTGAGGTAATATGTACATGTAGGTTGGGGTAAAGTGATTATGCATAGATAATAAACAGAGAGTAGCAGCAGCATATGTGAAGAGTGTGAAGGAATGTGAATGTGTGTGTGTCATCAATATGCATGTGTGTGTGTGTTTTGTGTGCATGTGTGTGTGTGTGTGTGTGTGTGTTGGAGTGTCAGTGTAGTATGTGTGAGTGTGTGGTTAGAGTCCAGTGAGTGTACATCAAGCCTGTGCAAAAGAGTCAGTGGAAAAAATAAGAATAAATAAGAATAAAATAAGGGGGTCAATGCAAATAGTCCGGGTAGCCATTTTATTAACTGTTCAGCAGTCTTATGGCTTGGAGGTAGAAGCTGTTAAGGAGACTTTTGGTCCCAGACTTGGCACTCCGGAGCCTAAATGGGGAAAATTTGCAACACGATAAGATATCATGTTTCATGAGCTGAAATAAAAGATCCCAGAAATTTTCCATACACACAAAAAGCTTATTTCTCTCAAATGTAGTGCACAAATTTGTTTACATCCCTGTTAGTGGCTCTCATGAGGACTGCCACAGGAAAGGAAGACCCAGAGTTACCTCTGCTGCAGAGGATAAGTTCATTAGAGTTACCAGCCTCAGAAATTGCAGCCCAAATAAATGCTTGACAGAGTTCAAGTAACAGACACATCTCAACATCAACTGTTCAGTGGAGACTGCGTGAATCAGGCCTTCATGGTCGAATTGCTGCAAAGAAACCACTACTAAAGGACACCAATAAGAAGAAGAGACTTGCTTCATTTGGTCTGATAAGTCCAAATTTGAGATGTTTGGTTCCAACCGCCGTGTGAGACGCAGAGTAGGTGAACGGATGATCTCCACATGTGTGGTTCCCACCATGAAGCATGGAGGAGGAGGTGTGATAGTGCTTTGCTGGTGACACTGTCAGTGAATTCAAGGCACACTTAACCAGCATGGCTACCACAGCATTCTGCAGCGATACACCATTCCATCTGGTTTGCGCCTAGTGGGACTATCAGTTGTTTTTCAACAGGACAATGACCCAACACACCTCCAGGCTGTGTAAGGGCTATATGACCAAGAATGAGAGTGATTGTGTGCTGCATCAGATGACCTGGCCTCCACAATCACCCGACCTCAACCCAATTGAGATGGTTTGGGATGAGTTGGACCACAGAGTGAAGGAAAAGCAGCCAACAAGTGCTCAGCATTTGTGGTAACTCCTTCAAGACTGTTGGAAAAGCCTTACAGGAGAAGCAGGTTGAGAGAATGCCAAGTGTGCAAAGCTGTCATCAAGGCAAAGGGTGGCTACTTTGAAGAATCTCAAATATAAAATATATTTAGATTTGTTTAACACTTCTTTGGTTACTACATGATTCCATATGTGTTATTTCATAGTTTTGATGTCTTCACTATTATTCTACAATGTAGAAAATAGTAAAAATAAAGAAAAACCCTGGAATGAGTAGGTGTGTCCAAACTTTTGACCTGTACAGTACCTCATACTCTCCACATCCACTCCTGCAGGCATAATGAATTTACCTTTAGAGTCCTGTAGAGTACAACAATGACAATTAAATCGTGTTGAACCAATATGACAGTCTGCCCCTACCGGCCTCTTACCAATCAAACAGAGGTAGTTGAACTCTGCTAGTCTGGACAGGCGAGTGTACTGATTGAGAATGTTGTAAAGCTCAGACGCCTCACAAAAGTTTGTTCCAGCCATTATAGGAAGCCTGACAATCTGAAAATAAAAAGTCAGTGTTTTCAAAACCCTGCATTGGACTACTACACTAGCTAGTTAGCTAACGTTAGCTCGTCCACATCATGCTTCAAATACTAGCTAACTTGTGTTAAGAATACAGATATTTGTTTTCTCAGTATATCAACATCTTTCTGTAGCTAAAGTTAGCTGGTCGAGTTTGCAAACTAACATCAGAGATGGTAGAGCACCCTAGCTAGCTAGCACAAAAAAGATTTGACCCTAGCCTAATGTCTGTCTCTGCCATTGACTGTAACTTTAGGTCTCTACTAACAACACACATACTGTAATAATAAAGCACATTTATAGTAGGTATAGTATTTTATAAAGGGATAAGACAGTATTATTAGAAAAGATAACAAGCAAAATAATTAATCTTCAAATACAACTAAATTAGAACACAAGTACTCAATCAACATAGTGGAGATAAAAACATAGCAAACGGAAGACATAGAAGGCACAGTATGTGGGTATGTGTGGATGAATTGTGATGGAAAGTGTGGTGTGCGTTTTTTGTGTTTGAATAAGTGTGGCGTTAAGTGAGTGAGAAAGGAAATGGTTGCATATCCCAGAACCAACGTGTGTCTGTGAGCAGGGGTTGTGAGAGAGAGCTTTCAATTTTGTGTATACATCTAATATATTTTTTTATTGTCCTTTCATGATGGAACGATCCCCAACCCTATATCCTATCCTAAAATTGGAGGCCCCTTACACTTCAGTGTTGTGATGCAAAAATTCTAGCAAAATGTATAGCTCATAGAATTAAAAAGGTATCGTCGGACATTATTCATTCTAATCAGACAGGTTTTTTACATGGAAGATACATTGGAGATAATATAAGACAAGTACTGGAAACAATAGAACACTATGAAAAATCTGGGAAACCAGGACTGCAATTTATAGCAGACTTCAAAAAGGCATTTGATAAAGTATGACTGGGGTTTATATATAAATGCCTGGAGCATTTCAATTTTGGAGAATCTCTTATAAAATGGGTTAAAATCATGTATAGTAACCCTAGGTGTAAAATAGTAAATAATGGCTATTTCTTAGAAAGTTTTAAACTGTCAAGAAGAGTGAAACAAGGTTGTCCACTATCGGCATATCTATTTATTATGGCCATCGAGATGTTAGCTATTAAAATCAGATCCAACAATAATATCATCGGCCTTGCATTAAAGAACATAATTGGTTAAAGAAAACTGTGATAAATAAAAAAGTATATCAGTTTCATTTAAGGACCAAAGGATTGACAGCCGTCCCATATAGATTGAAAAATAGTTGGGAAGAGATTTTTGACGTACTGATCCAATGGCATAGTGTTTATGAACTGATGCGCGCAAAATGATGCCAGATTCAAAACTTAGAATTGTTCAATTTAAATTATTACAGTGGGGAGAACAAGTATTTGATACACTGCCGATTTTGCAGGTTTTCCTACTTACAAAGCATGTAGAGGTCTGTAATTTTTATCATAGGTACACTTCAACTGTGAGAGACGGAATCTAAAACAAAAATCCAGAAAATCACATTGTATGATTTTTAAGTAATTAATTTGCATTTTATTGCATGACATAAGTATTTGATCACCTACCAACCAGTAAGAATTCCGGCTCTCACAGACCTGTTAGTTTTTCTTTAAGAAGCCCTCCTGTTCTCCACTCATTACCTGTATTAACTGCACCTGTTTGAACTCGTTACCTGTATAAAACACACCTGTCCACACACTCAAACAGACTCCAACCTCTCCACAATGGCCAAGACCAGAGAGCTGTGTAAGGACATCAGGGATAAAATTGTAGACCTGCACAAGGCTGGGATGGGCTACAGGACAATAGGCAAGCAGCTTGATGAGAAGGCAACAACTGTTGATGCAATTATTAGAAAATGGAAGAAGTTCAAGATGACGGTCAATCACCCTCGGTCTGGGGCTCCATGCAAGATCTCACCTCGTGGGGCATCAATGATCATGAGGAAGGTGAGGGATCAGCCCAGAACTACGCGGCAGGACCTGGTCAATGACCTGAAGAGAGCTGGGACCACAGTCTCAAAGAAAACCATTAGTAACACACTACGCCGTCATGGATTAAAATCCTGCAGCGCACGCAAGGTCCCCCTGCTCAAGCCAGCGCATGTCCAGGCCCGTCTGAAGTTTGCCAATGACCATCTGGATGATCCAGAGGAGGAATGGGAGAAGGTCATGTGGTCTGATGAGACAAAAATTAGAGCTTTTTGGTCTAAACTCCACTCGCCGTGTTTGGAGGAAGAAGAAGGATGAGTACAAACCCAAGAACACCATCCCAACCGTGAAGCATGGAGGTGGAAACATCATTATTTGGGGATGCTTTTCTGCAGAGGGGACAGGACGACTGCACCGTATTGAGGGGAGGATGGATGGGGCCATGTATCGCAAGATCTTGGCCAACAACCTCCTTCCCTCAGTAAGAGCATTGAAGATGGGTCGTGGCTGGGTCTTCCAGCATGACAACGACCCGAAACACACAGCCAGGGCAACTAAGGAGTGGCTCCGTAAGAAGCATCTCAAGGTCCTGGAGTGGCCTAGCCAGTCTCCAGACCTGAACCCAATAGAAAATCTTTGGAGGGAGTTGAAAGTCTGTATTGCCAAGCGACAGCCCCTAAACCTGAAGGATCTGGAGAAGGTCTGTATGGAGGAGTGGGCCAAAATCCCTGCTGCAGTGTCTGCAAACCTGGTCAAGACCTACAGGAAACGTATGATCTCTGTAATTGCAAACAAAGGTTTCTGTACCAAATATTAAGTTCTGCTTTTCTAATGTATCAAATACTTATGTCATGCAATAAAATGCAAATGAATTACTTAAAAATCATACAATGTGATTTTCTGGATTTTTGTTTTAGATTCCGTCTCTCACAGTTGAAGTGTACCTATGATAAAAATTACAGACCTCTACATGCTTTGTAAGTTGGAAAACCTGCAAAATCGGCAGTGTATCAAATACTTGTTCTCCCCACTGTATGTGTATATATGTTTGTATGTATGTATGTGTATATATATATATTTGCGAGAAGAAAAAAAACATGGGGGATTGGAAATGATGCAGACAATTACATTGATGGAAGTTACAATCTATCTGCAATATTAAAGCTGATCTTCCCCCTAAAAAAAACATTTGTTTTAAAACACACATACTTGGCTAACTCATTCACTGATGATGCTAGTAAAAATCTGCAGGCAGTTACAGGTTAGGGCAGAAACTTACCTGGTTAAGATGAAAATGACAAAATGACTTTTTCCACTCAAGTTAACTAACCAAAGGCACTTAGCTTTCTAGCTACAACATTTCTAAAACATATCTGAACTAACCACACATTAAGGGTGTGTTTGTAAATTTAATCTGGAGTTCCAGAGTGCGCTCAGAGTGCCCTCAGGGCGTTCGTAAATTCAGAACGTTTCGCTCTCGGAGCGTTCAGAGCGCACACTGCAGGACGCTCTGGCCGAGGAGTAGGGTTGATCCGAGCGTTCTGGCCTCAACGGCAGTCAAGCACCCAAGCTAACTGGCTAACGTTGGCTAGCTACTTCCAGACACAAATGAGAAAACACCTCACTCTGACCATTTTACTCGCCGTAGTAGAGCTGGTTAACCTGTTTGTATGTTATCCAGAGCGTTGCCGATGTTTACTGACACCGGCCATATTCAACGGGTGTTGAGCGTTTGTAAATTCGTCTGTTATTCTGCGCTCTGGCACACTCATACGAGAGTGCTCTGAAATCGGAGTAGATAGCCAGAGTGAATTTACGAATGCACCCTAATATTGAGGAAATTACACATGTTTGTTTAGGTTTTGTTGCTAGCTAACACAATAACCGGCATTGCATTTGGCTGGACAGTAGTCATCTGTGATTGGTCATTCTATCTACTTCCGTATTCAGTAGCCTATCCACGTACGTATTCATCCAGCTGTGTGTAATACGTTTCCTGATTTGTTGAAGCGACTTTAGTAGTGAATTTTGAAAATCCCTGCTTGTTGAACGAAGCAAAGATTGTACAAATATTTGTTTTTATCCTCTAGCTAGTTTGAATACGTTTTCATGGCTGGATCGTGGGTATGTAACGTTAGTTATAAGTTTCACTAACTTGCGGACTAAACTAGCGCCACAAATACAGATGTGTGTTAACGTCTATATGGTCTGACGGTGTTAGCTAATGTTAGCTAGCTAGCTGGTGCAAAAGCGTTGCTGGCAGGCAAAACCTAACTTGTTCATGCATTCGCTTGGCTGTTGAAGCAGTATGCGTTAGCTACGTATGAAAAAGCAGGAAGTCCAGCCTGTTTGTTGTAACGTTAATTGTTATTTAGCTAGCTACAATGATGGTAATTAAGATAAAATAGTCATCTAAACATCGTTTTTGTGTTCTATGCTCCCTGACTTTCTAGCTTTCATTTTGGTGATTTTTATCATTTGTAGTCTACACAGTTTAGATTTGGTTTGAGTCATTTTACAGTATATTTACCCCCCCCCCCGTATATTTACCCCCCCCCCCTTCTCTCTCTCAAAGTATTATTATTATTATTATATTTTTTTTTTTTTACCCAACCGCGGGCCATATGTTTGACACCCCTGACCTAGGCTATGGGCTGCCAATAGAAAACATGGCTGGCTAACTTGTACAATTGGATATTGCCCATTTACCATTGCAGCCAAAACATTAAAAGGTGTGTGTGAGAGAGCTAGTGAGTTTGAATGTACGTCTGGTGTGTAAATAACTAACTTGTGCATTAACCCATACATATTTTGAAATGTAACTGAATCCGACTTTCTTCACTGTGCCTTTAGGGACCAAGCAAAGCCTTCCTGCAACGCAGGAAGAAGAGGGCCAGCAGCAGACGCTGGGCTGTTATGAGTAAAAGGCTTCAAGAAACACCTGAGCCCATCATCACACCTGTAACCACACAGTGAGTCAATCTATGGCAGTCATCACTGCAACATTTTAGTTCATACATTTACATTTTAGTCATTTAGCAGACACTCTTATCCAGAGCGACTTACAGTTAGTGAATACATTTTTTATACTGGCCCCCCGTGGGAATCGAACCCACAACCCTGGCGTTGCAAACGCCATGCTCTATCAACTGAGCTACATCCCTGCCGGCCATTCCCTCCACTACCCTGGGCCAATTGTGCGCCGCCCATGAGTCTCCCGGTCGCGGCCGGCTGCGACAGAGCCTAGATTCGAACCAGGATCTCTATTGGCACTGCGATGCAGTGCCTTAGACCACTGCGCCACTACAGTAGGGTTGTTGTTGACTAACCCTTATTAGTCTAGCCTACTAACAGTTGTCCTTCTATTGTTGCCTACAATGTCAACATGAATCTAAGGATGGCTGAATGATCATGCACAAGAGGGAGGACAACCCTTTCCTCAACTCTCTTAGCACTTATCATTATGTGTGTATTTTCTTTAGACTTGGAAATTGTGACCCAATCACCCAAACCAGTCCTGTTCCTTTACTGGGTGTCAGAGTGTTGCTGCTGGAATTTGGCAGGATATGCCAAATCTGGAGGAACTGCCTGAGCCAGGTAGGTTTATACAGCATGGCTATGTTTGTAACAGGGCTGTTTTGGTTGAGGGAAATGTTATGTTAGATTTAATTCCCAAACACTTACCTACATGATTCACTCTATATGTCAGTGACACTAACCACGTTTCCATCCACAGTTTTTATGCGAGTAAAGTCATACTGTATAAAAAAAAATCACAACAGCTGTGACGGAAACCGGAAGTTTCGTTAAAATTGTATATACGCTGACAGATCATTTGTTCGTTCGACTTGGTGGGATCTTTTTGTGTTTGTAAAATTAATTATGCGAGAAATGGTGGTGGAAGCGTTTTTATGCGCATCATATCACGTGACTCCAAGTTAGTAAACTTGATATGGTGTGTGATCCTCCCACTATGACTCGGGGAAACCATGCAGTTTATTAGGCTACAGATGAAATAACTTATGATGAACTTCACAGGGTGGTGAAAGTGCACAGTGATCTTGATGATCCTTTCCAATAAATATCGAGGATCCTATTCTGGTGACATGATGATCGATGCTTGACTGCCATTTGACAAATAAAAATATATTCTTGCTCTTATCCATAATAATCTCATCATGGACAGTGCCCTCCACTAATATTGGCACCCTTGGTAAATATGAGCAAAACAGGCTGTGAAATTTTTTTCTTTATTGTTTATCCTCTTGGTCTTTCATTCCAAATATTCACAAAAATCTACCCTTTAATTCAAGTAAAATAATTGAAAGAAAAAATAAAGAATTATCATAAAACAAATATTTTTCTCAAATATACAGTACCAGTGAAACATTTGGACATACCTACTCATTCCGGGGTTTTTCTTTCTTTTTTACTATTTTCTACATTGTAGAATAATAGTGAAGACATCAAAACTATGAAATAACACATGGAATCATGTAGTAACCAAAAAAGTGTTAAACAAATCAAAATATATGTTATATTTTAGATTCTTCAAAGTAGCCACCCTTTGCCTTAATGACAGCTTTGCACACTCTTGGCATTCTCTCAACCAGCTTCATGAGGTAGTCACCTGGAATTCATTTCAATTAACAGGTGTGCCTTCTTAAAAGTTAATTTATGGAATTTATTTCCTTCTTAATGCGTTTGAGCCAATCAATTGTGTTGTGACAAGGTAGGGGGGTATACAGAAGATAGCCCTATTTGGTAAAACACCAAGTCCATATTATGGCAAGAACAGCTCAAATAAGCAAAGAGAAACGACAGTCCATCATTACTTTAAGACATGAAGGTCAGTCAATATGGAACATTTCAAGAACTTTGAAAGTTTCTTCAAGTGCACTCGCAAAAACCATCAAGCGCTATGATGAAACGGGCTCTCATGAGGACCACCACAGGAATGGAGTTACTAGCCTCAGAAATTGCAGCCCAAATAAATGCTTCACAGAGTTCAAGTAACAGACACATCTCAACATCAACTGTTCAGAGGAGACTGTGTGAATCAGGCCTTCATGGTCGAATTGCTGCAAATAAACCATTACTAAAGGACACCAACAAGAAGAAGATACTTGCTTGGGCCAAGAAACACGAGCAATGGACATTAGACCGGTAGAAAATAGTCCAAATTTGAGATTTTTGGTTCCAACCGCCGTGTCTTAGTGAGACGCGATGTGGGTGTACGGATGATCTCCGCATGTGTATTTCCCACCGTAAAGCATGGAGGAGGAAGTGTTATGGTGTGGGGGTGCTTTGCTGGTGACACTGTCTGTGATTTATTTAGAATTCAAGGCACACTTAACCAGCATGGCTACAACAGCATTCTACAGCGATACGCCGTCCCATCTGGTTTGGGCTTAGTGGGACTATCATTTGTTTTTCAACAGGACAATGACCCAACACACCTCCAGGCTGCGTAAGGGCTATTTTACCAAGAAGGAGAGTGATGGAGTGTTGCATCAGATGACCTGGCCTCCACAATCCCCCGACCTCAACCAAATTGAGATGGTTTGGGATGAGTCGGACCGCAGAGTGAAGGAAAAGCAGCCAACGAGTGCTCAGCATATATGGGAACTCCTTCAAGACTGTTGGAAAAGCATTCCAGGTGAAGCTGGTTGAGAGAATGCCAAGAGTGTGCAAAGCTGTCATCAAGGCAAAGGGTGGCTGTTTGATGAATCTCAAATATAAAATATATATTTATTTGTTTAAACTTTTTTGGTTACTACATGATTCCATATGTGTTATTTCATAGTTTTGATGTCTTCACTATTATTCTACAATGTAGAAAATAGTAAAAAATAAAGAAAAACCCTATAATGAGTAGGTGTGTCTAAACTTTTGACTGGGACTGTATGTGTGCCACAATTATTGGCACCCCTTCATTCAATACTTTGTGCAACCTCCCTTTGCCAAGATAACAGCTCTGAGTCTTCTCCTATAATGCGTAATGAGGTTGGAGAACACATGGTAAGGGATCTGAGACCATTCTTCCATACAGAATCTCTCCAGATCCTTCAGATTCCGAGGTCCACGCTTGTGGACTCTCCTCTTCAGCTCATCCCACAGGTTTTCTATTGGGTTTAGGTCAGGGGACTTGGATGGCCATGGCAAAACCTTGATTCTGTGGTCAGTGAACCATTTTTGTGTTGATTTTGAGGTGTGCTTTGGATCATTGTCCTGCTAGAAGATCCAACCACGGCCCAGTTTAAGTTTCCTAGCAGAGGCAGTCAGGTTTTGATTTATTATCTGCTGGTATTTGATGGATTCCATGATACCATGTATCCTAACAAGTTGTCCAGGGCCTTTGGAAGAAAAAAAGCCCCACAACATCAAAGATCCACCACCATACTTCACAGTGGGGATGAGGTACATTTCTGCATGGCTATCGTTCTCTACGCCAAACCCACCTCTGGTGTTTGTTTCCAAAAAGCTCTATTTTGGTCTCATCTGACCATAGAACCCAATCCCATTGAAAAGTCCAGTAACGTTTGGCAAACTGTAGGCGCTTGAGTTTGTTGTTTGATGACAGCAAAGGCTTTTTTTATGGCAACCCTCCCAAACCACTTGTGGTTATGTAGGTGGCGTCTGATCGTAGTTTTGGAGACTTTCTGACCCCAAGACCCAGCTAACGTCTGCAATTCTCCAGCTGTGATCCTTGGAGATTTTTTCGCCACGCGTACCATCCTCCTCACTGTGCGTGGGGTCAATATAGACACACGTCCTCTTCCAGGCCGATTGTTAACATCTCCAGTTGCTTTAAACTTCTTAATTATTGCCCTGATTGTGGAAATGGGCATTTTCAACCGTTGAGCTATTTTCTTATAGCCATTTCCTGATTTGTCCAGCTCCACAACCTTTTGTCGCACATCATTACTGTATTCTCAGGTCTTTCCCATAGTGATGGATGACTATGGGAACTTGGCTTGTGTGTCACCCCAGTGAAACAGGAAGTCATGGCTTACCACTTAAGTGTTCCTAATCACTCAGGTGAACTTAAAAATGTAAAATATTAATGGGAATATACTTCAGTTAGATTTTACTCATAAGAATTTGTAGGGGTGCCAATAATTGTGTCACATGTTTTGGAGAAAAATATTTATTTAATTTATTTCACATTCATTTTTTTCAATTAAAGGTTTGATTTTTGTAAATATTTAAACGGCAAAGCCATTTTTTTCACAGCCTGTCTTTCTCATATTTACCAAGGGTGCCAATATTAGTGGAGGGCACTATAGACTAGCCTACCCGCACTGCCATCTTTATGCACCTTTGCCATTGGATGGAAGCCTAGCTACTGACCCAATTTCTACTTCCATCTATCTATTGCAGTCATTTGCTGGATTCTTGAAAACATTTTTCTTCTGGCGGGAGTATGCCAAACAATTAGAGACCCTCCAGAATCAAATGGCTGAGCTGCAGAGGGAGATGGGTGCCTTGCATTCTGCTCTTCAGGTGAGACACCAACAATTACACTCAACTGAATATACCTTATGGTGTGATCATGATGTGACAAACAGCCACATGCAGTACTACGTCACTAAAGCCTGTCTTGTTTCAGCAGGGTGGTAACACTGCATGCCATTGCCATGGGACTGTGGCTGGTGGTTTAGTCCGTCCAATGTTCCCTACTCCTCCCCCTCTTCCGTTGGGCTGTGGGTCAAGTGTGGACCCTCTCCCTGCTCTCACACCACCAGTCCCAGCCCCACCTCCTCCTCCACCACCACCACCACCTCCTCCTCCCCCGTCTACCACTGTTCTGCAACCCTACGTCCCTAAAAAAAGAGTGGCCTCCAATACTCAACAGGTAAGAACTTAACTCACCTTTCTTTCTTTCTTTTTTGGTGGTCATAGATCGATTTCAGTCTCATCTCTCCTATGATCTGACCTCTGTCTGTCACTTAGAGCTCCAAGGAGAAGCAGGACATACTGGTGGCTGTGACCCTCAGGGATTTACAGGCTGTTAAACTGAGAAAGGTCATTGCCAGCAGAGTGAAATCGAAGGTAAGCAAGGCATATCCTTAGCCTACTCAAAGTAATGTGTGCTTCCACCTGTCCAAAATGTAAGATCCATAGGACACTCCCACATAGCATGCAGTAATGTGCCTGATTCTCTCTTGCATTTCCAGCATAAACGTGTGCAACAAGGCCATTGTCTGACAATGGGTCTGTCTCTATTTCAGAGGACTCCAGAGAAGATACGTGCCCCTCTGGTCACTGCGGCAGACCTGCAGAATGTCCGTCTGAAACGATCCCACTGCCAACTGCCCCCTACGCTCCCCAAACACCTTAACGCTGGAAGGTAAACCTTCATCTGCTGCCATTGTTTTGTGACCAGGAGATTATCACAGTGTTCTCCATCATGGTCCTGGGGATCCACCACATGTTGTGCAGGCTTTTGCTCCAGGCCAATACTGATAATCATTTGAATCATGTTTATCAGTGTTTATCATGTTTATCAGTGTTTATCATGATTATCAGGCCTGGACAAAAGCCTGCACACCTGGACGAGAATTGAAGAACAGCTTTTGAAACATTTTGTTTTCTTTATTGGATTTATGTTGTCTTATTGTAGAGATGATCAAATGTTATTTCCCACCCTAGAACACCTACCAAAAGCCCCATGAATCTGCGTACACAGCTGAAGAGGGTTCAAATCAATAGGTAATGCATTTGAACACTCAAGTGCTTTATTCTTGTGTTGGCTTTATTCTGGGGTTCTTGTGTTACCTCAAAACAGGAATTCGAAGGACTATAATCAAGTGAATGCTCAGTCTGACTGTTTCTCTTCACTCTTTAGGAGTCCTGGTGGTACTCCTCTGTTTGACAAGGAGAATATGGAGACAGGCACTGGCCTCACCCCCATCATGACTCAGGCCCTGCGACGCAGGTTCCAGGTAGGTCACTCACTCAATTTGGGGCACCACAGCTTTACAGAGCCCGTGTGTGTATGTATGTATGTATGTACACTACCAGTCAAAAGTTTGGACACACCTACTCATTCAAGAGTTTTTCTTTATTTTTACTATTTTCTACATTGTAGAATAATAGTGAAGACATCAAAACTATGAAATAACACATATGGAATCATGTAGTAAACAAAAAAGTGTTAAACAAATCAAAGTATATTTTATATTTGAGAATCTTCAAATAGCCACCCTTTGCCTTGATGACAGCTTTGCACACTCAGCATTCTTTCAACCAGCTTCACCTGGAATGCTGAAGGAGTTCCAACATACAGTGGGGGAAAAAAGTATTTAGTCAGCCACCAATTGTGCAAGTTCTCCCACTTAAAAAGATGAGAGAGGCCTGTAATTTTCATCATAGGTACACGTCAACTATGACAGACAAAATGAGAAAAAAAATCCAGAAAATCACATTGTAGGATTTTTAATGAATTTATTTGCAAATTATGGTGGAAAATAAGTATTTGGTCAATAACAAGTTTCTCAATACTTTGTTATATACCCTTTGTTGGCAATGACACAGGTCAAACGTTTTCTGTAAGTCTTCACAAGGTTTTCACACACTGTTGCTGGTATTTTGGCCCATTCCTCCATGCAGATCTCCTCTAGAGCAGTGATGTTTTGGGGCTGTCGCTGGGAAACACGGACTTTCAACTCCCTCCAAAGATTTTCTATGGGGTTGAGATCTCGTGGAGTTGCAATGATCATGAGAACGGTGAGGAATCAGCCCAGAACTACACAGGAGGATCTTGTCAATGATCTCAAGGCAGCTGGGACCATAGTCACCAAGAAAACAATTGGTAACACACTATGCCGTGAAGGACTGAAATCCTGCAGCGCCCGCAAGGTCCCCCTGCTCAAGAAAGCACATATACAGGCCCGTCTGAAGTTTGCCAATGAACATCTGAATGATTCAGAGGAGAACTGGGTGAAAGGGTTGTGGTCAGATGAGACCAAAATGGAGCTCTTTGGCATCAACTCAACTCGCCGCGTTTGGAGGAGGAGGAATGCAGCTTATGACCCCAAGAACACCATCCCCACCGTCAAACATGGAGGTGGAAACATTATGCTTTGGGGGTGTTTTTCTGCTAAGGGGACAGGACAACTTCACCGCATCAAAGGGACGATGGACAGGCCATGTACCGTCAAATCTTGGGTGAGAACCTCCTTCCCTCAGCCAGGGCATTGAAAATGGGTCGTGGATGGGTATTCCAGCATAACAATGACCCAAAACACACGGCCAAGGCAACATAGGAGTGGCTCAAGAAGAAGCACATTAAAGGTCCTGGAGTGGCCTAGCCAGTCTCCAGACCTTAATCCCATAGGAAATCTGTGGAGGGAGCTGAAGGTTCGAGTTGCCAAACGTCAGCCTCGAAACCTTAATGACTTGGAGAAGATCTGCAAAGAGGAGTGGGACAAAATCCCTCCTGAGATGTGTGCAAACCTGGTGGCCAACTACAAGAAATGTCTGACCTCTGTGATTGCCAACAAGGGTTTTGCCACCAAGTACTAAGTCATGTTTTGCAGAGGGGTCAAATACTTATTTCCCTCATTAAAATGCAAATCAATTTATAACATTTTTGACATGCGTTTTTCTGGATTTTTTTGTTGTTGTGATTCTGTCTCTCACTGTTCAAATAAACCTACCATTAAAATTATAGACTGATCATGTCTTTGTCAGTGGGCAAACGTACAAAATCAGCAGGGGATCAAATACTTTTTTTCCCTCACTGTAACTCTGTGAAGCATTTATTTGGGCTGCAATTTCTGAGGCCGGTAACTCTAATGAATTTATCCTCTGCAGCAGAGTTAATTCTGGGTCTTCCATTCGTGTCGTGGTCCTCATGAGAGCCAGTTTCATCATAGCGCTTGATGGTTTTGCGACTGCACTTGAAGAAACTTTCAAAGTTCTTGAAATGTTCCGTATTGACTGACCTTCATGTCTTAAAGTAATGATGAACTGTCGTTTCTCTTTGCTTATTTGAGCTGTTCTTGCCATAATATGGACTTTATATTTTACCAAATAGGGCTATCTTCTGTATACCACCCCTACCTTGTCACAACACAACTGATTGGCTCAAACGCATTAAGAAGGAAAGAAATTCCACAAATGAACTTTTAAGAAGGCACACCTGTTAATTGAAATGCATTCCAGGTGACTACCTCATGAAGCTGGTTGAGAGAATGCCAAGAGTGTGCAAAGCCGTCATCAAGGCAAAGGGTGGCTATTTGACGAATTTCAATATTTTGATTTGTTTAACACTTTTTTGGTTACTAAATGATTCCATATGTGTTATTTAATTGTTTTGATGTCTTCACTACCATTCTACAATGTAAAAAATAGTAAATAAACCCTGGAATGAGTAGGTGTGTCCAAACTTTTGACTGGTACTGTATGTATGGTTATAAAGGTGTGTCACCTTTTTCACTACTTACGTTGTTATTTATTCCCTCAGAGTGCCTTACCACGAGGACCATCTCCAAAGGCAAAGAATTGCAATGGAACCTTTTATTATCAAAACTGAGACATTTGTTGATAAATACACGGATGTCGATCAAGACGAGTTGAAATGTAACGGTGAAAGGCGGCTGTTCTGATAATAAAAAAAAGTTCCAGTGTTGTATGAGGATGGTATGCAAGCTATGGATGTAACTATTGGCGCAATGCACATTTTCTAGCGCTTTCTGCTTTCCACTGCTTAATGGGTTACTAAGTGCTAGGGAGATTGAAGATGAAAAGAGGAAACACTTGTGTCTTGAACCACTATTTTAAAACGGACATAAAAGTTCTGAAAGCAAGCAGTTTCTGTGAATGCTGCTTTTTCAGAACAGTCCTGTTAATTCATTGAATGACAGATGAGGACTTGCCTTGACTGCCCCTCTGTATCAGACATTGGATTGGTCAATCCCGACACTGCCTTAAAGGTTTTTGGAATAGTGACTCCAAGGAGGATGTTAAGTGAGCAATACTGATATTTAAAAAGCAGTAGTTGAGATACTCTGTACATGTTGAGGAAACACAATCTATGACGAGTTACTTGAACTGAGTCAGACGCATCACGTTTTTAATGTGGGTTCAGTTAGTCGTCATTTTATGAGGAAGTAAATGTATCTGACGGACTATATTTGGAAATTGCGCATTGACTGGGGACCCAAAATGTTTGTGAGCTATTGTGTTTTGATCTTTGTTTATGTAACTTTTTTCTAAAAGCTTATATTGCATGATCTTTTAATTTGCTACTGTAACCAAATAAAAATGTTTACATTTTTAATTTGTTTAAGAACTTATTTTTACCACTATTGTGCTTATAAGAATACAAATACATTTGTGAATTCCTAGACATGTTTTAAGTATATATATTATTCGTTTATTGGGACAATTTCGGTATCCATAAAAGACGATACATTTAACTGTTTTGGTTGCGGGAATTGTAAAAAGGGACACAGAAATGTCCCTTGTTTCTACACGGAACATTTTACTTGTGTTCACGGAAAGTGGCCTTGTGCGCAGCTATTTATCGTCCTCACATTGATTTGGGCGGAAAAAATGGCGTTGCTCATGAGTGTTGGAGGGCTCCTAGAATCAGAAGTAATAGAGGATCCATTGTACAAAGATGAAGGTCTCTGTGTACTTGGTATATTCGGTAAGACTGCGATGCAACCCGGATCACCGAAAGAGTTTCTAATCAACACGCTCGCGGACAAGCACATCTATCATCTCTTCGGACTGGATGAGACCGACAATCAGAACAGTGGAAGCTTGATTCAGGCGTACTACAGCCAAGAAAACCGCGTATTGTATCTGGTGCTTACTTCAGTTTGTGACAACCGACAGCTTTTGCGGGCGTGTGAGTCTTTGAGTACGAGCATCGGACACTCGGAGGCGCACGAATTCTGGAAAGGGGCGGATAAACAGCATTGTTTAGCATTGCTCTATCTCTTCTCCTTGTGCCATGTCCTGCTATTGGTCCATCCTACATGCTGTTTTGATGTCACCTATGACAGATTGTTCCGTGCTGTGGATGCACTTCGCCAGAAAGCTCTGCCACTACTACGTGCTGCCATTAAGGATTCCAACATATCCAAAGAATGGAAGGTGAACTGCCGCCCCTGTCCCCCGCGCCTGCTATTTGTATTCCAGATGAATGGAACCCTGAGAAGCTGTGGTGGAAATGGTTCAGATCCTTCTGGGGGAAATGCTGACAAGCCCAAGAAACACTCACCACGAAGACGCCTACAGCATGCATTGGAGGACCAGATATATCGCATTTTCCGGAAAAGTCGGGTCCTCACCAACCAGAGCAGTAATTGCTTGTTCACTGTTCCTGCTAACCAGGCGTTTGTGTATGTGGTGCCAGGGCCAGAGGAGGACCCAGTGGCAGCCGTCCTGGGGCAGCTGCGCTCCAACTGTGCCCTGCGGGAAAATGACACCAACACCTCAGTATCTGGACCCAGGCGCTATCAACAAATGCGTCACTCCGCTAGACATCCATCCTTCAATGTAGAAAGCAGCAGCCTCTCAGGGGGGCAACTAGTGGACTGTAGTCTGAAGGAGTTCCTTTGGCAGCATGTCGAACTGGTGTTGACCAAGAAAGGCTTTGACGACAGCGTCGGTCGCAATCCGCAGCCTTCCCATTTTGAGCTTCCAACGTACTCCAAGTGGGCCCAAGTGGCCTACAGGCTGCATCAGGTCATGATAGCCAACACAGATGAGGAAAGTGCCGAGCTGTCCGTCAAAGTACAAAGTCAGCTTAAAGTGTTGGAGGGTTTCCTGGATGCAGACGCCAAGTTCTCTGAGAACCGCTGCCAGAAAGCCCTGCCGCTGGCACATAGCACCTACCAGTCCAACCTTCCTCATAACTATACCACCACGGTGCACAAAAACCAACTGACACAAGCACTTCGGGTCTATAGTCAGCATGCACGTGGCGTAGCTTTTCAGCGCTACGCCTTGCAGTTGCATGAGGACTGCTACAAGTTCTGGAGTAATGGGCATCAGTTATGTGAAGAGCGCAGTCTGACGGACCAACACTGTGTGCACAAGTTTCACCTGCTGCCTCAGCCAGGTAAAGCCTCAATCACTACCATACAGAACAAACTGTTACTATAATTTCTCAAATATTTTCCATATTTAAAACACAAATTATAGGTATCATAACAGGTATCAACATTGTTGGTAATCAGTGTACCTCAGAGTATTAATTTTGAATTGTATTGTTATTATGGCTAAAATCAAATGTTATTTGTCACATGTGCCGGAACAGGTGTAGATCTTACAGTGAAATGCTTACTTACAAGCCCTTAACCAACAATGCAGTTTTAAGAAAGAATACCCCAAAAAAGCACAAAAAAAGACAATATAAAATAATACGAAATAAAAGTAACATAATTAAAGAGCAGCAGTAAAAATAACAATAGACAGGGGGTACCGGTACCGAGTCAATGTGCGGGGGCACCGGTTAGTCGAGGTAATATTTACATGTAGGTAGAGTTATTAAAGTGACTATGCATAGATAATAAACCGAGAGTAGCAGCAGCGTAAAAGAGGGGGGGCAATGCAAATAGTCTGGGTAGCCATTTGATTAGATGTTCATGAGGCTTATGGCTTCGGGGTAGAAGCTGTTTAGAAGCCTCTTGGACCTAGGCTTGGCGCCCCGGTACCGCTTGCCGTGCGGTAGCAGAGAGAACAGTCTATGACTAGGGTGGCTGGAGTCTTAGACAATTTTTAGGGCCTTCTTCTGACACCGCCTGGTATAGAGGTCCTGGATGGCAGGAAGCTTGGCCCTTGCGGTCGGAGGCCGAGCAGTTGCCATACCAGGAAGTGACGCAACCAGTCAGGATGCTCTCGATGGTGCAGCTGTAGAACCTTTTGAGGATCTGAGGACCCATGCCAAATCTTTTCAGTCTCCTTAGGGGTAATAGGTTTTGTTGTGCCTTCTTCACGACTGTCTTGGTGTGCTTGGACCATGTTAGTTTGTTGGTGATGTGGACACCAAGGAACTTGAAGCTCTCAACCTGCTCCACTACAGCCCCGTCGATGAGAATGGGGGTGTGCTCGGTCCTCTTCTTTTTCCTGTTGTCCACAATCATCTCCTTTGTCTTGATCACGTTGAGGGAGAGGTTGTTGACCTGGCACCACACGGCCAGGTCTCTGACCTCCTCCCTATCGGCTGTCTCGTCATTGTCGGTGATCAGGCCTACCACTGTTGTGTCATCGGCAAACGTAATGATGGTGTTGGAGTCGTGCCTGGCCATGCAGTCATGAGAGAACAGGGAGTACAGGAGGGGACTGAGCACGCACCTCTGAGGGGCCCCGTGTTGAGGATCAGCGTGGTGGATGTGTTGTTACCTACCCTTACCACCTGGGGGCGGCGCGTCAGGAAATCGAGGATCTAGTTGCAGAGGGAGGTGTTTAGTCCCAGGGTCCTTAGCTTAGTGATGAGCTTTGAGGGCACTATGGTGTTGAACGCTGAGCTGTACTCAATGAATAGTATTCTCACATAGGTGTTCCTTTTGTCCAGGTGTGAAAATGCAGTGTGTGGAGCGCAATAGAGATTGCATCATCTGTGGATCTGTTGGGGTGGTATGCAAATTGGAGTGGGTTTAGGGTTTCTGGGATGATGGTGTTGATGTGAGCCATTACCAGCCTTTCAAAGCACTTCATGGCTACAGACGTGAGTGCTATGGGTCGGTAGTCATTTAGGAAAGTTACCTTGGTGTTCTTGGGCACAGGGACTATGGTGGTCTGCTTGAAACATGTTGGTATTACAGACTCAGACATGGAGAGGTTGAAAATGTCAGTGAAGACACTTGCCAGTTGGTCAGCACATGCTCGGAGTACACGTCCTGGTAATCTGTCTGGACCTGCGGCCTTGTGAATGTTGACCTGTTTAAAGATCTTACTCACATCGGCTATGGAGAGCGTGATCACACAGTTGTCCAGAACAGCTGATGCTCTCATGCATGTTTCAGTGTTACTTGCCTTGAAGTGGGCATAGAAGTAATTTAGCTCGTCTGGTAGGCTCGTGTCACTGGGCAGCTCACGGCTGTGCTTCCCTTTGTAGTCTGTAATAGTTTGCAAGCCCTGCCACATCCGACGAGAGTCGGAGCCGGTGTAGTACGATTAGATTTTAGTCCTGTATTGACGCTTTGCCTGTTTGATGGTTCGTCGGAGGGCATAGTGGGATTTCTTACAAGCTTCCGGGTTAGTCCCGCTCCTTGAAAGCGGCAGCTCTACCCTTTAGCTCAGTGCGGATGTTGCCTGTAATCCATGGCTTCTGGTTGGGGTATGTACGTACAGTCACTGTTGGAACGACGTCATCGATGCACTTATTGATGAAGCCAGTGACTGATATGGTGTACTCCTCAATGCCATCGGAAGAATCCCGGAACATATTCCAGTGTGTGCTAGCAAAACAGTCCTGTAGCTTAGCATCTGCTTCATCTGACCACTTTTTAATTGACAGAGTCACTGGTGCTTCCTGCTGTCTTCTATGCCATCTGCAGGTGAGAAGCCAGAGATGGACCGCAACCCGCCCATCCTCAACCACAACAGCAGGGGGCGTTCCACTAGCTCGTGTAACTGTGGCCGGAAGCAAGCCCCTCGTGAGGACCCCTTCGTCATCCAAGCTGCCAACTATGACTTCTACCAAGTTAGTATCTATCACTTTTTATGCAGAACTTTGTTCTAAAGCTGTATCCACACCCATTGGATGTAGTGAACATAATCAAGTGTCTATATCCAGAAAAGCCAAAGGCTGGGCTTAAAATAGTGTATGAGATCATATAAAACATTTTGTAGTGATTCCTATGTTTAAAAAAAAAAAAAAAAAAAAAAAAGTTTACTAATTTGTTGGTCTGATGTGTGTAATGAGGAGCATCCAGACACTGCACTTGATGCATTTATGACATTGTTTCTTCCAGTTATTGATAAGCATGCGCCTATTAAGAAACTAACTGTTAGAATTGATGAGGAATTGAAAAACTGTATGGTTGAGAGAGATGAAGCACAAGGAGTGGCTAATAAGTCTAGCTGCACATCTGATTGGCAAACTTACTGTAAATTGAGAAATTATGTGACTGAACAAAATAAACTATTAAACTAAGAAAAATAATACAGTTGAAGTCGGAAGTTTACATACACCTTAGCCAAATACATTTAAACTCAGTTTTTCACAATTCCTGATATTTAATCCTAGTAAAAATTCCCTGTCTTAGGTCAGTTAGGATCACCACTTTATTTTAAGAATGTGAAATGTCAGAATAATAGTAGATAGAATGATTTATTTCAGCTTTTATCACATTCCCAGTGGGTCAGAAGTTTACATACACTCAATTAGTATTTGGTAGCATTGCCTTTAAATTGTTTAACTTGGGTCAAACGTTTTGGGTAGCCTTCCACAAGCTTCCCACAATAAGTTGGGTGAATTTTGGCCCATTCCTCCTGACAGAGCTGGTGTAACTGACCATTGTCCATTTGGAAGACCATTTGCGACCAGGCTTTAACTTCCTGACTGATGTCTTGAGATGTTGCTTCAATATATCCACATAATTTTCCTTCCTCATGATGCCATCTATTTTGTGAAGTGCACCAGTCCCTCCTGCAGCAAAGCACCCCCACAGCATGATGCTGCCACCCCCGTGCTTCACGGTTTGCAAGCATCCCCCTTTTTCCTCCAAACATAACGATGGTCATTATGGCCAAACAGTTCTATTTTTGTTTAATCAGACCAGAGGAAATTTCTCCAAAAAGTACAATCTTTGTCCCCATGTGCAGTTGCAAACCGTAGTCTGGCTTTTTTATGGCGGTTTTGGAGCAGTGGCTTCTTCCTTGCTGAGCGGCCTTTCATGTTATGTCGATATAGGACTCGTTTTACTGTGGATATACAGTGGTGTGAAAAAGTGTTTGCCCCCTTCCTGATTTCTTATTTGTTTGCATGTTTGTCACACTTAAATGTTTCAGATCATCAAACACATTTAAATATTAGTCAAAGATGACAAGTAAACACAAAATGCAGTTTTGAAATGAAGGTTGTTAAACCCACATGGCCCTGTGTGAAAAAGTGATTGCCCCCTACAACCTAATAACTGGTTGGGCCACCCTTAGCAGCAACAACTGCAATCAAGCGTTTGCAATAACTTGCAATGAGTCTTTTACAGCGCTGTGGAGGAATTTTGGCCCACTCACTTTGCAGAATTGTTGTAATTCAGCCACATTGGAGGGTTTTCGAGCATGAACTGCCTTTTTAAGGTCATGCCACAGCATCTCAATAGGATTCAGGTCAGGACTTTCACTAGGCCACTCCAAAGTCTTCATTTTGTTTTTCTTCAGCCATTCAGAGGTGGACTTGCTGGTGTGTTTTGGATCATTGTCCTGCTACAGAACCCAAGTTCGCTTCAGCTTGAGGTCACGAAGTGATGGCCGGACATTTTCCTTCAGGATTTTTTGGTAGACAGCCGAATTCCTGGTTCCATTTATCACAGCAAGTCTTCCAGGTCCTGAAGCAGCAAAACAGGCCCTAACCATTACACTACCACCACCATATTTTACTGTTGGTATGATGTTCTTTTTCTGAAATGCGGTGTTACTTTTACGCCAGATGTAATGGGACACACACCTTCCAAAAAGTTCAACTTTTGTCTCGTCAGTCCACAGAGTATTTTCCCAAAGGTCTTGGGGATCATCAAGATGTTTTCTGGCAAAAATGAGACGAGCCTTAATGTTATTTTTGCTCAGCAGTGGTTTTCATCTTGGAACTCTGCCATGCAGGCCATTTTTGCCCAGTCTCTTTCTTATGGTGGAGTCATGAACACTGACCTTAACTGAGGCAAGTGAGGCCTGCAGCTCTTTGGATGTTGTTGTGGGGTCTTTTGTGACCTCTTGGATGAGTCGTCGCTGCGCTCTTGGGGTAATTTTGGTCGGCCGGCCACTCCTGGGAAGGTTCACCAGTTTTCCATGTTTTCGCCATTTGTGGATAATGGCTCTCACTGTGGTTCACAGGAGTCCCAAAGCTTTAGAAATGGCTTTATAACCTTTTCCAGACTGATGGATCTCAATTACTTTCTTTCTCATTTGTTCCTGAATTTCTTTGGATCTCGGCATGATGTCTA